ATTTGCCATCACAACGTTAAGCTGGGCTTGCATTTCTGCATTTACCTTTACAGCTGTAGCGCGGTCATTGACATTAGATGTCATCGCGGATTGTGCTTTTGAGTGCAGGCGCACTCGCGCCAAGCGACGAAATTTCGTAAATTGCAATTAAAGCAATTGAGTTACGCGGAAGCAAGCGATAAGAAAACGCTGCGTGTGCGGTTTTTGTTGCTGTTGCGTTGAAGAATGCACCGCAAAGTTCTATTTTTAGAACTCTGCAGCAGTAGAGCTTAAGCGAAGGCTGTTCGAATTCACGTCTTTACAGGTCGAACGACTGATCGCGATTGTGATTAGTAAACTTTATTTAATTTTTTTTGATGTGTGCTGTAAAAATAGCAAGTAAAGAGCAGGCGGCGGTGATGGGAAAAAATGGGCAGCAACGACCACGCAATGTGAAGAGCAGTCAAAAGAGTGGCAGCCTGACGAAAGAGAATGAGTGTAGGAGACGAGACGAGAGCAATAGAGACAGAAAGAAAGAGAGTGAGAGCAGCAGCGACGCGAAACAGTCAGTTCAAAAGGCGTTTTTTCTTATTTGTTTCTTTTTATGGTCGGCCGCTGTTGCTGCTGCTTCGCTATTTGTCTTGATCTTTTGTTTTGAATAGGGTTATTTCCATAGTTGTTGTGACTATTGTGTTGTTGCTATGAGTACGTGTTTTATATCTGCTCTTCAACTGCTGCTTTTGTCGTCATAGTCATCGAAATCGTCACCGACATCGACATCGGTTTTTGTTTTTAATTTTTTTTTTTTTTATTTTTTTTACTGTAGCCAGTTCCACGTAAACTTTACTGTTCCACAGCTGCTTTTTGTTTTGATATGAGAAATCTATAATCAAGCGAGCATGAGTCTGATTGTGCCTGTGTGTGTATGTTGTTGTTGGTGTGCATAAATTATTAACACATTTTGTTGACTTGAAACTCGTTTCAATTTTACGTCTCCCGCCGCTGCAGCTGCCAAAAAAAAACAATCCATGTAAATTATGCGCATTTCGTCGAATTCCCTCTTTAAAACACATTTATAAATATATATATATATATATATATATATATAGAAAATATATATATAGAAATATTATTATGTGATCATCAGACAAATTTGTTTTCAATCGCTCCAAAACTCTAAATATGCATGACTAACAACTGTATTATAAATGTATAATTCGCACACTTAATGCAGTTTCTTCTGTTTTGTACTCGCTATATTTTTATCACATTCGCTTTGTAGCCATATATGGCTTTCTTTTCCTACATTTTAATGCGTAGTAAAGATTAAGTATGTTAAAACACGTATACATACACGCATACACAATGTATAGTTAAGTATTCAAAGATATATTCAATGTTTTCCTGGTTGCTTGTTCCAATTGAATTGTCTGATAAGATATGTCAATTCATTAGAACATCTGGAAGTCAGTCGTACGGGAATTTCCTTTTTTTATAACATCTTAATTAATATTCAACTTGTATCTGTATTTCCTTTTTACCTCTACCGTGTAGCTTATATTTGCCATATTCACCTCGTTATTCCATTCAGTTGTTTCTATGTGCTCTTCATTATTATTGTTTTTTTCACTCCTCCTTCATCTCATAATTCGCTCTCATTTGTCAGCGTCTGTTATCAACAGTCACACACACATAGATTTATGAGAACTTATACATATGCATATACAAACATAACTGCGGACTAGGGCAGGCCTTTTTTAGCACGCGTTCTAATTTCAAAATTTTCCTCTTTACATGCACTCTGCGTTTGCAGCGATAAATGAATTAGGCGTTGATTTACATGCATGCGCATGTTTATAGGTACACAGATGCAGGTACATCATGTATGTTTTCACTTCTGGACTTAAGTAAACAAACTTTCGGATCATTCGATTTTTCAATGATAGCTCAATGCGTGGAGGAGCTGTAGCCTTAACGTGGAATATTTAGTAATGTGCTAAATGAATTTAATAAATATTTACTCAACAATTTGCACAAAATTTCGTATCAGTTTGAGTGGCCTGAATGCGAGAAGAACTGGGTGCCAACTAAATGGAAATATTGAATATGCGCCAAGGCAATTTTGATTAATTTGTGTAAATTTTCTACCCTCAACATAAATACATAATACGAAATTCCAAACGCGATAAACAAGCATTCTTTGGTGCCAGAAATACGTGTCTATGCTGGAAAGCAAAGCTAGTCGCAGTCTATACGAATGTAAATACATAAATAAAGCAAACTTTGGTACATAATATGCCATTTACATAGATATCTATTTTATCTATAAGTAATCTAACATTTCAGTAACGGAATTACAGCAGTAGTTCACCAAAGAGAGCTTTCACTGTAATATATTCCACGCAGCTATATAAGTATATATTTCTGTATGTTTGTTTGTATAGATATATATATATATATATATATATATATGTGCGATTTGTTGTCGCTTTGTTGTCATTGCTGCCGGACACTCAGATTTGCGTTGTTCTTCTTTTTGCGTTTGAATGTTAACAATAATTAAAATGCCAATGTTTTTGTTTTTAGTTGCTTTTGTTACCATTTAAAGTGGGGCTTGTAATTAATTAACTGTTTGTGTGTAGGCTCACTTGGCATGGCTATAGACAGCTGTTTAATTATCGATAACTTCCAAGCTTTGACCCATTTTTGGGCCAAATATATATTTATATATGCATGCATACATACATATATACACACAGCCAGGTGAAGCATGGGAAATTTCAGTCTTTTGTTTACTTTCATTTTGAGCTTTTTTGTTGTTGCTGTGTGAATCGAAATTTGCTTGTGGCCCAGTTTAAGTGGGTTGAACGAGCGGGCCAGGTCTCTGTTGATAAGGATAGCGCCATGAATATGTCTCTGTACCTGTCTCTCTGTTTGGCTGGCCGTCTGTCTGTCTGTCTGTATGGACTATCGCATGGTTTTGTCTGACTCAGCTGAAATACTATCTCTCTCGTTCATTTAGTCTGAGTCGCAATTAACGCTTTCTCTCTGTCTCTCTATAATCACTTGACAATTAAATTGACTAACACTGAACAAATGATTCAATAGGCTTCTACAGCGATTAACGCATTCAATGTGTTCCGTGTTTCAACAATTGTTTTTTACCAGCCCCTTGAGTTGACGCAGACGCTGCTCTATTAATAATAGCCGAGTTAAAAGTAAAAATAAGTTGCGAAAAGACGAACAGTGGCACATGGATTTGACCAGTCAGAAAGATAAGTGAACGATGCGTCGCATTGAGTCGAAAAAAAATCATAACAACAACAACAGCATTAACTTTTTGGATCAGTTGCCAGATACGCGAACAATGCCCGATCGTTGACTGTTTCAAGTTAATGACACGACGATTACGGACATACAGAAGTCATTTATTATTATACAGTTAAATATATATGTGTGATTAGTGATTCCCCTTTAAAAAACTAATGTCTAAGGCAAAGAGTGATGCTATATGCATATGTATATAGGTTTCGAACAAAAACTTGTCTGTAACAGTAGGCAACGCCAAGGCGATAAAACAGATTAAAAGTCGCGCCGTCTGGCCTGGCCTGTAGCTGCCGTCTAACACAATTAGCCATATGCACATATTTGCTAGGTAATACATGATACAAACACCAGACACAGATATACAGTAACAGCTACAGATACAGATACAGATACAGATGAGCAGATAGAGATGCAAATGTGTACGTTACAGTAGCAAATATGCATTAGCATTACGGTCGCTATCTTATTTTATGACGTCTGCAGTTTTGTGTGCTAATTCCATTCATTTGCATTGCCTGGAGAAGGGCGGCGCGGCGTAGCTTCTCGGCCCAGACGAGTGCGCAATTCGTAGATGGTGGCGAGCTTCACAAGTTGTTTGCAATTTGCCAAACGATAACTTAATTAACATTTGCCCAATTGATAACTGTTGCTTGCCACCGGCTAACCCTCCAGTATCAATGACCGATTCAGACGTTGCCGATCTTCGCTGTCAATTCATCCACTCGGCACACGCCTGATCGCCCACAGAAGCAATCACAATTCGTCTGACTTTCCTCAATTCAATTGAAATCGATTAACCATACGCTTCATTAACTTGTTCTATGGCCAACAATTCGATTTGATCATCGTCTAGATCATCATGCCGGCAACATGCATCAATGACTTATCTGTTATGGTAGACCAAACTGAACACACAAAATATTTGCACTCGGTTAATCGTCAAATAGCTACAAAGTTGGGTAACAACTGCGATGTTAAATTAGAGGTATAAAGAATGTCTACAATATCAATCTTCTGTGCGAAAAGTCACAATAAAGATAAAGTCATAGACTATTTAGCTAATAGGAAGCATGACAAATGAACTCAATAACATAAACCGTCCATGACCGAAGGCATTGCTTAGTAACTAAGCTAGTAAACAAAACATTTTGCAACTCGTAAATGAATAAATAAATTCATCGATAGAAATAGAAAATACTGCCTTACTCTACTTAACACTATTTACTATTGACTTTATTAAAGCCCCGATTTCGAAGTCGGAATTGCAGTGATAAATGTATTCCTTTTAGTTTATAAATGAAAACGGCTTTAAGGTATCAACGATTCTGCTTAACGTAGCTATGAAATATTCCTGATTTAGAAATGCGTTCGTAAGGCTTTTAGTGTAGATAATCACTGTCTGAAAAGGCACTGATTAAATGCTTTGCACTAACGTAGAATGATGTAATTATTGTTGAGGCACAGATCGTAGCCGGAACATATAGTCATATAGTTTGCATGGCTCGTTCCGTAGAGGAAATGACATTGAACCCGCTAGACATCCGAATAGAATGCACAAGTGCATGAGCTCTAGGAGATTCGCGTGCAAAATGTGTGTTGCGTGCTTTGAGAACCGGTTCCGGGGGTCTCCATTTGATCGATCGGTTAACGCTTGCTTAACCCAATTGTAATGCAATTCTGTTTGTTCGTTACAGATACAAGATCAACAAGTAAAAGAAGAACAGCTGCGTGAAATAGAACAGCAACCAGAGCAACTGCAAGTGTAACTCGTTAAACTGTTTCGCGCGGCAGGGAATGGTATATTTCTTGGGGGATTGGGGCATGGGAGATTCTGACTTGTCGTCATATCAGCAGCATGTTCCAAATATACAACAACAACAGCAGCAGCAGCAACACCAACGCATCCATGGACACCAGCAGCAGCAGCATCAACATCAGCAGCAACAACAACAGCAGCAGCAGCACCAGCAGCAGCAACAACAGCAACAGCAACAACAAAACCAGCTGGTTGCACAAATCTCAAATAGCCTAAGCCTATTGCAATCGCAGCTGCAATTCGCCAGCGGATCCAGCTTCCTACAACAGCAACATTCACCACAGCAACATGTGGGTGGCCCAAGGAGCAGCAGTGCCAACAGCAACAGCAACGTCAACAGCAGCAGCAGTCTGGTAACAGCTAATCTACAGCAACTATCGGTGAGCAACAGCGGCAACAACAATAGCGCCTGCAACACGCCCACCAAAACACAACAGCAGCAGCAACAGATTGACTCTCATCCACCCGCCTCTGGCGCGGCTCTCAAAGTACATTCGTCTTGGTTGAGGCAATGCTCCGAATCAAACAACTCGCAATCGACGGCCGATAGTTGCGGCAGCAAGACAAAACCAACACAGCTTAGTAAGGATCTCCTGGATAACGAGGATGAGGTGGCCCTTCATCCGCTTTCCAATCAGGTAAGCTAACGTTATCACCCTTCAGAATATAGCTTGGCCTTAGTTGGAATATAGTCATATGCTGATGGGAATACCTGAAAGAATAGAAAATAGGACTGGAAGACGGCGTCCAAACTTCACTCAATCTTCCAGCCTCCATAAATAAAATTTAAGAACAACATCAATAAAAACAAGATGAGTTTAATCAAGTGAATTGCAATAAGTTGAAATCCCCCTGAAATCAGATTAAGTTAATTCTGATACATCGTATTTGATGATGAATGAAGGTTGTTGAGAACAAGGACAAGGCTTTATGAAGCTAGACTTGACCCACCAAATAAATCATTTCTTTTCCTTTTTGGAAACTTCTTGTAGTTGTTCACTTAGGCAATGAAAGTACTCGGACAGACCCTCGTATGAATGCTTCACAATGAATGCCTTGACCACGGCCCAGGTGGACTTGATAAAATTGACATTACCAAAGACCAACATATCAGTCCCGTTGTTCTCTGACCGTACCAGACAGTAGTGTGTTGCTATGTTGAATACGTCGGCATATGGTATGCCCTCGTTAACGCTCAGCACATCTATGGAGTATATCTCTCCAGGACAGCTGCAAGCTCGCATTGTTTGGAATTCGGTTACCTTTGACGACTTGGGTCCAACGTTTGCTTGGAGAGCAACTGTGACATTGATGTGCCTCACCTGCTGGCCATCCTTCCCGTTCTTCCATGGACCCATGCATAGCTCCGTGGATTTGCGCTTGTCATGGAAATCTGCTATAAATGTGGAAGTGCTAGAAAATAGCATGTTGAATAATTTATCCACTTGCAGCCGGAAATGCTCCTTCATGATAAGTCGGCCGTCGTGATCCGAATCACAAGTTCTGCTCGTGCCAGTGGACATTTCGGCGGATTTCATTTGTAAATTATATTCAGTCGAAATCGACTTGATTTGGCGGCTGTTTCGAGTTTTACTTTTTCTTTCATGCGGTCGCAAAATTACAATCGATTTATTTCGATTGGTAACAGTGGAACCCTGTCTTTTGTTCGTAGATTTTCTGCTCTTACTTTCTCGTCTCTTTTCCGTGGTCTCCTGTGGTAAGGAGTGCCAGATTAAAACTTTCTTGGGCCTTTCCACAGTACCTTTGTAATACAATGTGGCTATCTTCGATAAGCGGGAAGAGGGGCCTTTATATTTGGATTCCCTTGAATTTTGATTAAAAACAATGTTAAGAGCAGTCGATGGTCTAACGACTTTTGCCTTTGGAGTGACTGGTGATATGGAAGTGCCAAGTCCATCCTTTAACTTGTAATAAACCGATTGCATCGCATTGATAACACCTAAAACCCAACTGAATCTCTGGGAGTCCTTTTATTGAACAAAACATTCAATCAATTGCCATTTGTACTAGAGTAGAATGAAATAATATTGGCAATATATTATTTACTTTACTTTTTAATTTATGTCATCTTGTTCAATAATGCTTTCAAATCTTTTTACCAGGTTTTGAGCAACGTGACTGTTCTCATATAGTCTAAAACAGATCAAGTATCCTTTTCGTTTCCTTAAACTTATGATTTATAGCAACCAAGTCTGTCTCTCTAAGCCTGTGTGCCTCATATTGTTTACATAAACTCATATAAGACCTAGGCCATATGATAAGCATATATCCAATCCGATGTGCTGAATATATTTCTGAGCATTGTCTGACAAGTAAAAGCTCGTAAAGATTAAAGCCTATCATCGAGGATTGATTACACTGGAACACAACGCAACAGCTGCTTATCAAGCCGTCGCATGACGTAGGATAGTGATAAGATAGTATAGGAATGACCACGCGACTAACTTCTCTTAAGATCTTTGTAAACAGTTCTATATTCAATTCCAATAGTGAATAACACACAAACAGAGGCGGGTTGAATCCCTTTTTTGCATCAGCAGATGGATAATGATGATGATGATGATGATGTAGTTTTTAAATAGAGATTCATAAATTTGGATTTAATAATCTTGCTAAAGTATCAAGTCATCAATTATACTATTATTAATGCTTTCAGGTGGGAGGACACACGCGCCTCTTGCTGCTCAACCAGTCAACGGTGATCAAGCCGCTGAATTTGCGCGAATTGGACTTCTATCAGAACATTCCGCAGGACGTACAGAAGTTTGTGCCCAAGTACAAAGGTAAGATACCGACTATATTCACTTATTAACCAACCAAACCGATTATCGATTCTATCGAAGCGCTTCATAAGATTGACATATATATTTCGTTACGAATTAACTGCTCGTTCTATCATGCATTAAAAAGAAAAAGAAAAAGAAAACAGAAATACCAAAAATAAAAGCAAAATAAAAATTGATTTTAAATAATAATTTGATATTACCATATGTCTTGAGCTTCCAAATCTTCGACGCTGTATTCAACTTTTCTTTTGTACTAACTTGCATTTGTCAAACGAATCAAAAAATAAAAAAAAAACAAAAGCCAAAAATAAAATTAAACAAAACAAAAATTACATCAACAATTTATGCGCTCTTCTGTATTGTCCTTAGTTAAAGTCAAAACGCATTTCAATATCATTTTTATTTTAAGTATTATATTCTTATATGTGATATTCGTAGCTTGTAAGCATATTAATTGAAAATTGAAAAATAAAAACAGACCACAAAAAAAGAAAACCAAAAAAAAGAAAAAAAAAATAAAGAAAAAACTGAAATAAGACTGAACCATATCGTAATCTAATAGGTAAATTATAGCTATTAAAGTTTTGTAATACGAAAAGCGAAATAAAATTATTATAGCTGCCATGCCCAATTATTGTCTGACTCGACGCCTGGAAGTAGTCCAAGCGCCTGGCCACAAAAGCTCCACGCACACACTACCATTTTATCACATAAGAACTTTTAGTTAGTAGCGCAGTGACAGCAATGGGTAAGTCGCAAAAAATAAAAACAAAAAACCAACTCTTCTCCAGCAAAGTACTTTACATATATACATATATATGCAACTATATATATATGTGTAATGAACGAACTAAAAACACAAGTAAAAAACCTTTGACAATCTGCACCCAACTAAAAGGATTGTACAATTTTTGTTCGACAAAAATTATACAATTTCTAAGAAATAAAAAAAATATATAAAAAATACTACTATTATAATGCACGCCCGTACAGCCTGTAGCTTGGGGCCTTTACATATCTACGCTCTATGCTCGTATTATCCAAAGGTTCGAAGTGCCGACTGACAGACCTCGTGATCGTGATCTGCCGCTGAACCAATCAATGAACCCAAGCGGAGAACAGCCTCCAGAATGAAAGCGTAAACTAAAAATCTTAAAAACAATACCATTTATTTCCAATATCTCGCAAAATCGAACAAATCGTGTTTTATTTTATGTGTTTGTTCAGAACAGACATCGTGCTGCCCCTCTATACGAATACGAACACGAATACGAATATACGAACGAGTACGTTGTTGTTGTTGAGCTAAAGTCATGTGTCATCGTCGTCGCCTTCGTCCCTAGGCCTTTGCCGATCTAATCGGATCGGATCGGATCGGATCCTAATCCGCTCTGCTCTGCTCTCTACTCTCAGCACTCAGCTCTCAGCTCTCAGCTCTGCTCTGCTCTGCTCTGCTTTGTCTGTCTCTGGAACTGAACGTCTCCGAGACTCTCACAGTACGAAAGCCGATTAGAAAGGCAAGCAAGCCAATTATGACAATATGGCATCAACGGGTTTGTATGAATAAAACACATACTATATATATACTTATACTATATTTTACTATATATATATATTTTATGCGATACTTAATTTTCCAAACTAAATCTTAAGCTATTCAGTTCCTTAAGTACAAATATATATATTTATATGCTCTTATGGTTTAAGCTAGAACACATTAACAAACAACTAAGAAAATCAACAAGAAAATACAATTTATGAAAACTCTTTCGGATTTATGCACAATGTTTCTCAATCGATTACCTAAGTCTGATATTGCACTCTGTTTCACAACTAGCTTAGGTCTTATCTTACCTTAAGCCGTATTTCTAAATGTAAATCATGTCCATCCGAGATTGTCTAAAGCATGCAGTCTATATTGGGTCTGTATATTTAAAAAAAAATATATATAGAGAAATTTGAATATTTTTAGCAATTTTTTAATTGGGGCTCGTAGTAATGTTTGTCTGTGCCGTATGTCTCATTCATGATGTGTTTCATCTGATGTGTTTACTAAACTAGCTTTTATAAGTCAGGTCCATTTACCCATTTGCGTAACTCTAACCAAAAAAAAACCAAAACTTAACCTCAAGAACAAATTGCCATACACGAAACATTAAGTTATTGAAAATGAAATTAATTGAAACAACAAGAGACACAAAGACTTATCGCACGCCGGTCCCATTCTATTTCCAGGCGTTATGCAAGCGACTTCTATGGGCGGCGTTAAGCTGGACAAGCGCTACTCGCCCAGCTTCCGTGACGATGCTGCCGCGGTGCCAGTTCGCAAGATGAGCGCCTCAAAGCGCAAGCGGGACGAAGTTCTCAGGTATGTAGAAGCACTACGGAGTCTTGTCCATCATAGACGGACAGCCAGACAGCCTGCACCTTGCCACACACACAGACACGCAGACTCACACTCACCACACACATACACACATATGTATATAATATACTATATATATATATATATATATATAAATCACACATGACTGAATCATTCAGCCAAGCAAATGGAAATGAATTTTATTTTTGTTTTAGATTGTGCAATGCATACAAAAAACAAACACGCACTCGCCCCTGTCAGACATTGTTACGGGTATTGGGTATGCAAATATTACAACATTCTATGTGTATGAGATTTTTTTTAGGGACAATCCAATTGGAAACTGTGCCATGATCGGTTCCATTGAAAACGGCAAAATTATACAACTCCTTTAAGAAGTTTTTGCACTCAACTCCCTTTAATCTCGCCTACTCGTCGTCAGATGGCGCTATTGCGTTTTCAATGGAACGGAACATGTTCCATAAGAAACGAAAAAAAAAACACAAAAAGAAAAACGAAACGAAAACTTCCAGCTTATTTTGTTTTAGGTCACTCATTTGTGCCATCTATAAGGGGTTCGCAGCATTGTACATTTGTCTCGCTTGATTCCATATTAATCCCACACATCTCGCCTGGATTATTTGCAGAATGAAGGTGCATAAGAACGGAAATGCGGCCGATGTTATTAAGAGCATTTCGCAACTTGACAACTCCAATAAGCAATGTTAGTATCCTGTGCCATGGCTCGGGACCGGGACTTGGACAGAAAACCCACTTAATAATCATTATAGACTTATATCACTATTGAGACTTCTTATCTAATCTGTCTCTTTGGATTTCGCTTCACAGATTTCTTGATGCTCGAGAATATTACATCGCAGTTCCGTAATCCCTGTATTTTGGACCTGAAGATGGGCACTCGCCAGCATGGCGACGATGCGTCCGCAGAGAAACGATCCAAACAAATGGCTAAGTGCGCGGCCAGCACCTCAGGTTCGCTGGGAGTCCGCCTTTGCGGCATGCAGACCTACCAGGCCGATATGGAGCAGTATGCCAAACGTGACAAGTACTGGGGACGTGAGCTCAACGAGGCGGGCTTCAAGACCGCCTTGCATGACTTCTTCTACAACGGGTTTCGTCTGCGCATTCGCGTCATACGCAAGATCTTGCAGCGATTGTTGCAGCTGCGACGTGTTATTGAGAAACAGTCCAGTTACAGATTCTACTCCTGGTAAGCAAAAGTTATTTTTCATTGGACAAATATATTGAAAATCCTTTCTCTTTTCCTTGACAGCTCATTGCTCATCGTGTACGAAGGCTATGAAGAGAATCCCATGGCACATCCGCCCTCCATGGATCTGGACGATTGGCTGGAGGCGCCAAAGTCCGCGACACTGCAGCCGACAGCTGCCTTCGATTATCACCCGGAGAACAGTATAGACGAAGATGACATTGAAGATGATGAGGCAGGACACGAGGCAGGCGATGAACTAGAACCACACGATACTGATGAGGACCTGCAACTGGTGGCGGCCGTTGATAGCGGCAACGCCTCGGCTACTAACAGCAGCACCGGCGCAGATGGCTGCAACTATGACGCAGACGCGTCTAATGACTCAAACTCGCGCTTGAATCTAGCCACACGTCGTCATTTACACAAACGTGGCTTTGCGGAAGCAGCGGCACGTGGCGTTAAGCAAACGGCCACTAGCTCCACAACGACCACCGACGAGGAGGAGGAGGAAGATGATGAAAGAAACAAGGCACAGCATTCGCACTCGCATTTGTCCGCCATGCCGCCGCCGCGCAGTTGCGGCGTCCTGCCCACTAAATCGGTGACTGGTGTCAAAGGCGGCAGTGCCAATGCCAGTGCCACACCCGCATTCATTCCAATATCAGAAGAGACAGTATTTTTGGATCCTGAGCCAACGCTGCCCAGTGTGACAACCTCATCGCCACATTCCGGAGATTCCTGGATGAATTACAGCAGCAACAGCAGCGACGATTTCTCTGGCCTATCGGAGCAAATCAAGGCCGTAGCCAGCGGGCGGCAGACATGTAAGTCAACAAGTTAAAAATCATAAACCTAATAGAAGTTGTCATCAATTCTACCCTTCTACTTCCATTTAACAGGCAACAACAGCTCCGATGACGGTAGCTCGGACTACGAAAGCAGCATTATTGGACCCACGGAGGCCATGTTCAAGCGGTACAAGTCGCAGCAATCATTCGATGCAGCAGCAACAGCGGGCAGCTTGGAGCACACCTCGCCGCCTCACACAGCGGGCAATTCGAGCGCCACAATTAAGTCGGTTGTCTCGCCCGCCTCTTCCAGTGCATCTTCCCTGAAATCAGTAAAGGGTGCTGTGAAGCGTTTGCGCTGCAAGGACGACGATGAACATTATGCAGCTCACGATGACTCCCGAGAGGCGAAGAAATCGACCATAACATCCACGCCGGTTTCGGCTGTCTCCTCGCCCTCAAAGTCGCACACAGTGTCGGCGGTGCAGCGCAGTTGCGAAAATATATCCAACTCGTTGCTCGCTGGCATTCTGCTGGACTCACTGGAGCGTCGTGCCAGTGCCGAAGGTGACAACAACAACACCAACAGCGAGCCAAAATCATCCACAACTGCAGTACGAAACTCAGCGCTAATGCATGGCTCCAAGTCGCTGGACATGTCCGCACCGCCTACAGATGATTCAGCCTGCTTTGTGGACGTACGTCTCATTGACTTCGCCCACACAGCATTTGTACCGCGAAACGGGAGCATGTTGCCAACGGCAGCCACCGCGCCAGTTCACCATGGCCCGGACGGCGGCTTTCTCACCGGGCTGGACAGCCTCAACCGTCTGCTCAACGAGATATTGGCCGAGGAGAGTATCTAATCTGTTAGCAGCAGTTACCCCAATTGAAGCTTCCAGCGGAGCCCACGCAAAGTTTGCGTGCGGGAACGGAGAATAAGTTAAAATTAAAAAAGTACAATTTGATTTCAAAAAAATTACCTAAATTGTTGTAGCAACATGTGTTAAATTATGAAACTAATCTTTAGAAATTCGAAATGTGATTCAGCTAACAAAAACAAAAAATACAAAAGTTAAAACAAACAAAAATTAACAGACAAAAGAAAAGCAAAAAAAAAAATGGAATTGGAATGCCAATATTTTTAAACAAAAAGAAACATACGATAAGTGCAAGGCAAAGAAGGCATAAAGAGCTGACATTTGTTCATATATTATTTAGGATCTGAATGTGTGAAACTTAAATCTAAAATTTATTTGCAAATGTATCTTCCAAAAGATCAATTTATTGAAATATTAATGGATTGTTCAAGCCTTCTGCATTTCCAAGCGCTGAAACAGAAAGAAAAACAAAGAAAACTAATTTCGTTGACTTTGGTGTTTTAAGTTTGTGAGAAATGAATATGAAAACCAACAACTATATAAATATATATGTATTGTATTTTTAACTAAATAATTGGCATGCATGTCGTGCATTTTTATACCTAGCTATTACAATACATACAATGCAAATGACAAAGCGTAAGAACAGTATTTTGTTATATTTTTCATCTTTGCTTTAAAATTGTTCCCTTTCTAATTGTAGGAATCGCAGTTTATCTGTAAAAGTATGAGAGGAGCAAGAAAAACGCTATTAACATAAATCGTAAAAAACATACATGTATATTACTATTACTTATTGTATAACTAGAAAATTAAATGGAAACACAAAAAACTAAAAAAAAAAAACATTTAAATAAACTATGTATATTTTCACTTAAGCACGTTTAAAAATTACAAATGTTCTACTGATTGCAAAATAAACTTAAATATGAATAAATATGTCAACAAATACAAATGTCTAGTGTTGTGTTCTATTACTGAGAAGAGAAATTCTGAGAATGTTTGAATTTATTTGTAGAAAACGAGTAGTTGCCACCCGTTAAACAGTTATATGTAAACAAATGTTAAACTTGAAAACGTACTAAATATCACCAAATGCTTTGTAGGTAATATTTAGTACATTTGAACTTAACATTATCGATAGCACTTTACATTTTGTCTACATTGTGTTCATATTGTGACAACAAAAGTGTGTATTTCGTCAATTAGGTTAATTTTGTGTTGTTTTACTATTGCTTACGTGATATTTTGAAATCATTTAGATAAAATAGGAATAATTTACTATTTCTTTATGTCTGAGATCTCTCACAACAATCAAAAAGAAAAAAATACGTGAACGTACTTATGTAATGTTCAGCGATAGGTTAACAGCTGTTAAATCAATTGGAATTAACAAAACTTTAATTATCGTTTCAGTAAATAAATAATAATAATGGGTGGACATGGTCACGGAGAGCCCTACACGGTACCCCATCCTTCGTGCTATAAGGTAGAGAATGTGCCTCAATTGCTGAAAGTCAAGGAGGCACTTGGCCGCCAGGGCTTAAACGACCCATGGCTGAGGTAAGCTCTTGGAGTAAACAGTATATTATTTCCTGCATATTAAAACGACGGCATCCGTAGGAACGAGGCTTGGCGCTACGAAAAGAAGGGATTCGGTACTCACGGCTCTCGCTTGAGTACATTTATGTTCCGCGGCCTCGGTGTCGGTTTTTGTGCAGTTGTCGCCACCATCGCAATTGAATATGCTCTTGGAATCGGCAAGGGCCAGGGTGACCATGGACATGGTCACGGCGACAAGAAGGATCATTAGAGCAAGCTCTTTAATTAAGTGATTTAGTTGAATAAATATGCAAATGTGAATACGCTCTGATATTTAATGATACGATATAATTGATGTTTGGATTTTACTCGCATAACATGTTTGTGTTGCTTAAACTAAAACCGATTTCAATTTCCGATCAATTAACGCGCGGCTTCAGCTCGTCGTAGCAGGAGCGTAGGAATATTTGCGGCTTCTTGGCAGGGTTGAAGTACTCATGACCCTTGGACCAGTCATAGCCAACAGCATATGCGAATATTTGACCATTGGCATTGAAACCGCATTTCGTTATAGATTGATCCATCGCTTCACTCGATTTAAGCTTGGTGCGTGCATCCTTGTCCCAAAAGCTAAATGTCCCGTCCGATCCGACGGTGACCAGAGTTCCATGCACAGGATGGAATGCGATATCATTGACCGCATAAATATCTTGGAAGCCGGACGTACCCGTTGAGCGATGGCATTTGAATGTAAAGTTATCCTTGGGATTCACTGGGTTCACATACTGTATGGCCACACGGCCTTCGATGCTGCCTAATGCATAGCCCGTGGGCGTCTTCTTTTTGTCCTTGAATATGGATATGGTGCGATGCTGATACTTCAGTGGGCTCTCTTGTCGCTTGTACTCGGTGGGACTATTCTCCAATGAGTAGATTATTAGGCCACGTCCCGCAGTGCCCACCACAGCCATGGGGTAGTCAACATCGGCGCAATAGCATCGTTCAGGCAGATTAATGGCCATCATGGGATTGGGTGTACGCGTGTCCCAGAACTAAAAATCGACCAATTTTACATAAATTGCATTTATATCATTTTGTAAGTTTCATACCTTGAGCGTTTTGTCCCAGCTCCCGGTCATGAGGCATGTGTAATTTGGACCTTTGACCATGTGGCAGGTTTTGACAGGGCCGTCGTGCGCAGCTACTTGCATCACTTGATCGGAGGCGAGATCCCAGAGCTTAACTTGTTTATCACATGACGCCATGAACACTTTGGTGCCATCATCCGACCAGCACACATCTAGCACCGGACCGCCCATCGTTTTCATTGACTTTGGCACTGTTGCTCCATTTTGTTCCACCTCCCAACAGCGCACGCTGTTGTCCCAGCTGCCGGCAATGAGAAAATTCTTCGGTACTTGCAATGTGCTTGGACTGAACTTGAGTGCTGTGATGGAGTCATCTGGTGGCGATGCTACCTCGAAATCGTTCATACGATTCGTTGTTGTTTGTGCGGCCCCAAACATAACTTTGTTTTTTAAATGTCGCAAAATGTTTGTAATTTAGCGAGCGAAGCGTCAAACGTACTTGCTGAACGTAAGCATAACATAGCACACTTACAAGAACTACGTAACGCAAACGCAAAAAAGAGCGTATCGTTAGAGCACTGTTAAATGAATGGTAACGTAGATAGTAACGATAGTTTCCGCTCCACCAAAATTTGCAACGATTAATGTAAATGTAAATGTAAACACAAATATGGGTAATTCAGCTGTCAAACTTTATTTTAAGTGCATAAAGTGGTACTAATTATATTACATATGGTATAACGAATTCCTGTAAGCTTGGCTTTGAGATGAGCAATCTGTAATATCAATGACAGGTCATCATTCATTCAACCAGAATGCTTAAAAATGAAGGAGCAATTGTTAAACAAATTATCTCAATATGTAATTATATACATGTTTGGCATATCTTCTAAGCAAGTATGTACCGTTAATCAGTGGCAGCTGAGACGTCAATATGTCTGTGCATGCATATTTGTATTTATGTATGCGTGAGTGATTTTGTGGCTGATTTCTATGCAAATTTACTTAGCCGTTCATTAACACATTTTATTTACAAGTTTGCAAATCTATCTCTTCTATATATATTTCCGTGTGTTGCAATGATTTCGGGTCTAATGATCTTATCTACATCGGAGTGCTAATTCATATAGTGCTTGTAGAAACAGGTTACCAACCATTTTGATAACTGTTCTTTTTCCTGTTGCTGGCTTCCATCAGAATTCAAGGTACAAAATATTGAATATTTCTCTTATCGGTCGATGGAAAACAAAGGCCTTAAGCATTATATAATTAATTATTGTTGTTATTTTTGTTGTTTTATGTGCGTGCACTGGAAATAAAATCCCCGAAATAATTTAACAACGACACTCGAGAGTTTTTTGGCATTTTCAACAAAAGTACAAGGGCGAGTACAATTGGTAAAAAAAAGTATGATATTTAATGATATGCCTTATTTAATCAGTTGGCAGCAGTCGATAGTAAATATGTTATCCGGGGTATTTTTTTTTCATTGTCGCTGGCAACAAAGTGGGTCAAGTCAGAGTGGCCAACAACAAAATCAACGTCTTGACATTGTCCAAGAAATGAGTAAGACTTTAATTCTAGGAAACTTGAGAGTAAATCCAGTCGGGTCACCGTGAATACCTCTTTATAAGTACGCCGAAAGCAACATGTTGTAATTTACCCAAATGAACGGGGTTAACCTCTGCCAAGTCGCAAATCAATAATGGCGAAATCGGTACGTTTCAGAATGATGTAATTTTTTAATATTCAATGTAGAGATCATTCATAGAATGATTAGCCTTTGAAACCACATAGTAGTGGATTTGTTACTATACATACATACACATACATATAAAATTATATAAATAAGCTAATTACATATAAGATGAAGGTATTGTGAACATACGCACACTTCTCAGGTGACGGTTAATACTTTTCAATGCCCGATGACAATCGCGTCAAGCAGTCAGATAGCTAATGCTAATGGTTACACATAGGGACCTACTTATATATAACAATAGGAACCATTCGTACTGGCCATCGTTTATCTTAATCTAGCAGGCAAGTTACTAAGCTTAAACTTTGGACTGAGTGAGATAAAGGAGTGGGCGGAGCTCAGATGCTCACATTTATCGCATTCTTAATCACAATGTTGCCGGCCACGCCGTTGACTATTGTCAGATTATTGTCAATCTCGACGCCAAGGCACGAAGGCGGCGCTGCCTTGTTCGGCTGTGCCGTATCCTTTGGCACCTGCTGTGAGCGGGTGCGCTTGCTGCTGGACTTGCTGCTATGCAGCTGCAACGATTTGACCACCTTCAGTAGGCCGTTGCAGCCGATGTAGTCGACATTCTGTTGCTGGGAGTCGCTGCCCAGATAGATGCGTCCATCATTGCCCGTGTACTTGATGTAGCCACTATTGTGCTGTATCTTCAGTCTGGTCGAGTTGCCAATGATGTGCAGGCTGCCCGAGTTGTTGACAATGCGCACACGATTCCCATTGCCAATGATGCGCAGATCGCGGGAGTTGTTCTCTATGCGATATTCCTTGCAATTACCGACCAGATCCTTGCTGCCAAAATGGAGATTAGTTGGCTCCGTTGTGCTGCGCTTGGCATTGCTTGTTTTACTCTTGTGATTTGTTTTGCACGTCGAACACTCCTCATCATCATACGAATCGCTCGCCGAATCAGCTTCAATTACTCGCACACCCATGATGTATGTGTGTGTGTATGTATGTAAGTGTGGGTGTATGTGTATGTGTGCGTTAAAATCAGTATCTTTCCGCTGTTAATCACAAGACGCTAAAAAAATCACCGATCGCCAAATTTAGTCACTATTCCGTAGAGACAGTTTTCGATTTATTGATTTTATGGCTGGTTGCTTCATCTATTTTACTGTGTGTATAGTTAGTGTATATATCCAAGTGGTATGGTGTTGCTGGCCGTCAAATTTTTAACGAATGACGTGTTTATGTGTGGACTGTTTGGGGGACTCCCTTATACGCGTGCCTCGTCAATCGCGGTGCTTTTTGCTGATATATAGGTATTTATATTGCTTTAAAGCTACTTGGCGCTCTAGTGTGCTTGCTGCCTGGCCGATCGCTGGCTGTGCTTTGAACGATATCGCCCCGGAGGGTTGGCTTTTATACCAGACGGAACGTCCGGCTGCATTGGCGGGGCTTTTTATTTTCGGCGAGCGATAGGCAGGCGGTAGCTGGCTAATTCAGGTGACAGTTATAGTTCGCTTCGGACGATTCGCAATCGTGTTTGTCGGCAGAGCACTGATAAGAAGAGGCCTATGAATAATATCATTAGATGAATATCAGCTGTTAAATAACAAATACGCCTTCGCAGGCCTTCTTTAAAATGTAATCGATCTGTATATGTATATATAATCGGTTCTTTTTTTTTATTTTCTTATCTGAGTTAAGCCCCATTGATATAATTTTTACTATCACTCATAAATTATGCCGCCGCAATTTGAATTATCGGAGTATACTATGTCTATGTAGGAAATGGTGCACTTGCCGGGAAAACTGTAAGAAGACTTCTTTGGAGAGAGTCTTCGCAGTTCAGCGATTCCCTTTCTACAGTTGCCAGGCGTGATTTCCACAAACAGCTGGTAATTATTTCCTACTCGAAACCCGTTTGTTTACAAACAACATTGTTTGCACATCGCATAAGCAGACTGCACACATACCCCTTATAATTTTCCAGTTAGGAGAGCTTTCGGTTTCAGTTCAGAGTTGGGCACAGCTCTCACGCCTTTGGCTGCGCTTTGTTTGGCCGAAATATTTGCTTTGAATAAGAGATTAGAGAGATAAACAAACTTTAATGGAATTTGCTTTAGGTATATTTATTTTTTCTTAGGGTAAAGCACCGCACCGGTCGACCGAACAATACCATCTTTATGGATTCCCGCTGATTTGTAAACATTGTGAACTTTGCTAGTTTATACAAGAGCGGGATTGTATTGCTCCGATTATCATTGAAGGGCGTGCACGTCTAAAGGGGCCCATTTGAAATTAAGCAATAGTTACACTTTTAACTGTTAACAATTCATTATCTTTGCTGTAATATTATTAAATGATTTATGTACTTGTTCATCTATTTATGACTAGGGGACTTTTCCCTTCAGTTGTTATCGACCGGCAGCGCCACAAATAAAAAAAAAAACAAGTGAAAATCAAATTATTGTGTTTATACTACACGTTAAAACGGCTAATTGCAAAATTTTCTAAACAATCTGCTGGACTGTGGCACGTGTGTATACAAATGAGGTAGTTTCGCCAAATGCTCGATTATCGAAGGTACTGCAACGACGACTAACTATCTAATACAATCAGCAAATCAGTAAATTAAAAGAACGAAAAACCCCCCATAGCACAGCAGTTAATGAAGAAGGGCAAGCAGCAAAGCAGTTAAGCTTCTACCGCTGTCTGCTATGAGAATAACGCTACCAGGCGTGCAGCAAGTTAACACGAGGTTTTTGTTTAACGTTTCGAAAGCAATCAAGCAAAATGAAAAAATAAAAATCACCAAAACTCAACTGGTTTCATCAGCCTTCTATCAAATATTGCCCTTTGTCTGTTTGTATCGTTTAGCAAACGATAGTCATTATTGATATATGTATGTGTATATATTTGTATCGATATGCTATTTGTGCCGACGCATCGCCCAAATGCTACCAAAAACACTTGTTGCTAAGATAACCGATAAGGTACGTGCGAATTACGGATCGACAATAAAAAGAAATATGGCTCATAGTATATACTACAGTTAAAAAAAATTCAAATGACTCCACTATATTAATCTATAGTCAGAGATGACTAATAAAAATAATAATAATAATAAAATGTAATCTATAATAAAAGTATGACCTTTCATGTTCGCTAATTAGTTCTATCACAGTTCCTTAACTTTCTATAATAAAATATAATGAATGAAGTAAAAATGTCCCGACTGCAACACGATATATTGTGTTTATCTAAAAAGGTTAAAATATAACATTATCTCAGTCCACATTGCGACTAAAATTAAATAAAGTAAATGACCTCATATAACTCGCGCTAATTTATAAAATTAAAATTCATTCAGATTCAGCAAGAAGTCAAGGTCTGCTGCGTAACTGATATTGGTTTTATATATATAGAGATAGTATTCATGAGCATTTTGGCTAATTGCAATGCCAAAATGTATTGCATTTTTTTTAAAAAAATAGATATTGCTTTATTGAATTAACAACTTTTGAAGTTTAACAATGTCTTTGCTTAGCTTAACAGAGATTTATCAATTAGTTAAACATGCTATATACATTTATTTATATACGATATGTTTCAAAATTTAACTATACGTGTGTATAAATTGATGTATATAATTGCTTTATGGAGTTACACAGTCGAGTGATTAGCTTGATATTTGTCACAGTGAGATTCTTTCATATATAATAAAGTTTAATATGAATGCTCAATTATTTAATTTGCACTTCTGTTATGGTTGGAGTATTTCATTTAAAACTTGTCTACGTGAGTTCTGATATGCGAGATATGAGATTATATTTGCTTGCTTTTGGGCGGGAGCACTTGATTCGTTTTATCACTGGAAACTTTCTAGTTCGGCTTTGAATGGCTACAAGAGAAGCGAAAAGAAGAGGCAAATCAAAATTGAAGTACAGAATGAACGACTATAACTAAGATAAGGCCAAACACACTAACGTTCGACATTGTGGTGCCCACCCCGTGCGTCATCTCGTGCAGCTCCTCATCCGTGTAGGACAAATTATGTGATTCGATTTTATAGCTAAAAGTCGCGGCGACGGGCTTGTGGTCGGAGAGCGTATAATCCATTTTCGACTGATAAGACAATTGTTCGGCACTCAGCGTAATAGACGGATAACTGTTCGCCTGCACGCGATGTAGTATGCGGTCACACCAAGCTGGACGCCGCTTCAAGTCGTATTCATTGCTGCCTTCGATGAACTTGAATGTGGGCGCAAATGTGGGTAGCTCCTCCTGCAGCAAGCTGAATGCGTTGCCCGACTCACGGAGCAGGGACAGCTGGTCCAACTTCAGCAGCTCATCATAGCGTCCATTCTCCACGGCGTTGCGTACATCCCAGGCAGACATATCGCCCGATAAGCGGAAGTTCAGATCGCCGAACCAGAATACAAAGTCATGATCAAAGATGCGTGGGTAGCCTTTCACATGATACTTGTGATTATCCACAATTTGGTGATAATCTTCGATGCGCTCCTTCAATTTAGCATCGTGTGCCGCCAAGTGGGAACACACAAATACGGCACCAGTGCCGTATAGACTTAGTCGTATGCTCACGGCTCCTTTATTGCCCCATACCCCACCCCAGCCCGTGCGCGTCTCATCCGTCTCGATGTCCTTCATGTGGGGTATGTGCTTGGGCTGTGCGAACATGGTAATTAGGATGCCCTGCAGCTGCTTCGACTCCACCTTTACGTACTCGTGTCTGCTCAATGCAGCGGCCAATTTGAGCACCCAGGGATCATCCTGAAATATGTTCAGTACCTGCTTAGTGCTCACCTCCTGCATGCCAATCACATAAATATCGGGTATTTTGTTCTGAGGACAGTTGGTAGTGCCATTTAGCTCCAACATGGATGTCAGTGACAGATCCTTCGGCGAGTGAGTGCCCACATTCCAGGTCAGCAGATAAATGCACAAATCGGCAATTACCGACGTTGAAACTGACATTGTGTGCCGTTGTCACTAATTAACAATGATTAAACACTGGTTAGACAACTATATACGTCAGAGACAGGGTGAACTAGCATTGGCGATGATGAGTTCACTCTATCCAGCTATAGACTTATTCCGATTTACTGTATCCAGTAGATCCAATGACAGAATATTGCTTAAATTTAAACTGCTTACCACTGTGCTCTTATTAGATTAGCAACAGACAATAATTACAATTATTTTTAGAAGCGTCCACGATGGCCATGGGCTTCTGCGGCTGCTGCCGTTGTTAAACTCACCCACACTGATTCACCTTGTCAGTTGATATGCGTCGTTGCCAGATATTCTACTTTTAAAACTTAAAATTTTTAAAAACGTTAAAATTTATTGTAATTAAGTGGATTCCATACTTAAAACAAAAATATAAAATTTTTATAATATTTATCAACTGTTAAAGTATAACGTAGTAAAGTCTTTGTTGTTAGCAGTGTGACCAGATGTACAGAAATTGTGTGTGTTGGTGAAATGCAACGAATACGCGACTATCTGGCAACTCTATAAACTTTATTATTTGTTAAAAACAATAAATAAGGAAAATTTACTGCAAACATAAGCTTGTTGGCCATAATCAAGAAAATGCTTACCAGTTTTCCACCCGGTGCTGTGCCAAATTGGATGCATAAATTAAAAAATGGTGCATACATGTCAAATAAAATACTGGAACGCTGTTTGCTATCGTCCATGTCAGACGGTATGTAGAAAGTGTAGAAAGAAGCTCAACTAGTGCCTCATAATGTTTGTGTTTTATATGGAAATATGCGCTGTTAATAGATGAGGCCTGTCAGGCGGTGGAAGACGCTATCAAGAAAGGTATTTTAGTGCCAAAGGGAAAAGGTTCGCGAGCGAAAGGAAAACGTATTTCGCTTTGTTTCGCACAAAAAATAGGCGAACTACAGGAATCCCAAAAGATTGATCCCTACTGCTTCGAGTGTCATTTACCGGGTTCGGCCACCAGTCCACTTAAGAAATGTCTTTCCTGTGATCGCTGCTTTCATGCGGCCTGCCAGCGTAAAAATCCACATCGTCCCAACTACTCGGTACCCTCGGACAAGGGTCAACCATATCGATTTCCACTTAATGAATCTGATATGGAGGATTCATGCGACGAAGAGGTGGAGGAGGAGGAGACGCCTTCAATAACTCCTATTCCAGCGACTGGTGTAGCACAAAGTGATCCGTATGAACTTGATTGCAATAGCAATATTAACGTCATTACTCGAGATCCGCTCAAACGTGAAGCAGACAGCTCCGATGATGTATTTTTCGTTAGCGAGCAGCCAGCTCGCCAGCGCAAACGACGCAGCACATTCATCAAAAGTGAGGAGGCTCCCAACGAGGTCAGCGACGAACTAGAGTTATGTACACCCTGCCGCCTGTTAAAGCTTTCCGATCTGCTAAATCCGCCGCACGTATCAGTTGAAGAATTGAACTGCCTGCTGGGCTACAGTTGGCAAACATACCACAGTTGGTTAAAAAAGGATGTGCGGAAATATATGGCAAAGCATTGGAATGAACGTGATTCGGCAATTGTTAAGAATGTGCTCTTTAAGAACGACATATTGGGCCTCTCTGATATATCTAGGAATATTGAGTTGAAGAAGTACAAGCATTTGTCCGAGTTCCTCACTGACTTGCTCGACTTGCAGCATAACACTGGTGTCTTCTTTGGAACCAACTGCGAGGAATACAATGCAACTAAATGGCTTCTGCGCGACATAACACACGATATACGTGAAATACGCCGCTGCTCCGATTGCTATCGCTATTCGAACGAATCGGATCGATCCTCATTTTGGTTCGCAAAGCCCTGCACGCAGCGTCACGAGCTAGTCTATGCCAAGCAACATGGTTCGCCTCATTGGCCGGCAAAGGTAAGCAAATAGCGATAAACAGAAACAATAATCAAATTATAACCTGTATATTAATTATTCCTTGGCAGGTTATACGTGTGATGTCCAAGAGGAGCAATTTATATGATGTGCGATTTTTCGGAGGCACCCATTCACGCGCCTTGGTGTCGGCGCGTGATATACTCCCAATAGATGCGGACATTTCGCAACTAAACTCCAAATGGAAGAGTACGCGTACGTTTAATTTGGCACTTCGTGAACTCCGGTGTCATATGATGTTGCTGCATCAGCCTATGTATTTGTTTAATTTCTCTGCTGATCCTCGTGAAGCTGAGGAGCTAATTAACCGTGCTTTACCCCATTGCATGGAGACAGCTGATGTGAATGCCTCAGCCAAACGTTCACGGGCTGGGACGCCAGCATCATCCAAGAAACGCAAAATAACATCCATAACAACTTCGTCTCCATTAACAACCGAACGCCTACAGCCCTTGCAACACTGCTCCATGGTCTTAAGATCAAAGACAATTAAGGAAATCACAACGCAGATGGTGACGTCTTTGCCAAGACTTGGAACCAGTGAACCTTTTGCTGGCTATCATGAGATGTTGCAAAAAGTTGTATTCTTAAACGAGGAACTGATACGAAACAAGGCTGAACTTGACAATATGAAAGAGGAGCTGAAGACAGTGAAACGTAAACGATGGTGTCATCATTGTCTACAGGAGGCGGAATTCAATTGCTGCTTTACTGCATCGTACTGCAGCGATGAGTGCAAGCGGCGCGATAAACGACGTCATCAGAGCTCATGTGGCCTGCAATCAAAATCCTAGTTCGAACATTGTTTCTGTTCAACAACTATATGTACATATATGTTCATACATATGTATATGTATGTGTGTCTTAATAATTGTATAAAAATTAAAGAAATTTTTAAATATTTTGTAATGAATATTTGAATTTTATTTTTTCCACAAAATGTAAACAAACGTCTTGTGGTTATGCACCTGGGTGATACGCAGCTGAATTCAAAATTAGCTTGATAGTGTCTTGAAAGTATATCTATGAGCTGCGTACTTTGCTTAGTGACACAATTGTGACAACAGGTGGCAACACTGTAAGCTTTGCGTCAATCAGTTGTTATTCAACGGCAAAGCTTTGCGGTTGTATTCGCGGTTGGCCTGCGTTTTGTTTCGGTTATTTGTTTATAATCGCGTGTTATTTTTTTCGTATTTCTATATGCATGCGTCTGTGAACTTTCCATATAATTTGCAAGAAACATTGACAGTGAATGAGGTCAACAACTCGCTGTGTAACAACGGCATTGTGAAAAATCAATAATTGTAAATTCGTTGAATAACACCGAATAATTATAAATAAACACAATCAAAATGCCCATTGGAACGTTTGATGAGTGGGATGTGCTTGTGTTGGTGAGCATTTTGATAATATCGGCACTGATCGGCATCTACTACCGGTATACGGGCGGCAAGCAAAAAACAACGCAGGAGTATCTCATGGCCGATCAGAGCATGACCACATTTCCGGTATCCTTTAGCCTGATGGCAAGTTTCATGTCTGCCATCTCACTAATGGGCGTCTCCAACGAGTCCTATCAGTTTGGCACCCTATTCGGTGTCATAAACATATCGTATGTGTTGAGCACTCCGATTGCCGCTTACATATTCTTGCCGGTCTTTTATCGAATGCGCACGACAAGTGTCTACGAGTATCTGGAACGGCGCTTTGGCCATGCGACACGTCTGGCCGCTTCGATGGCATTCACTTTGCAAATGGTGCTCTATATGGGCATTGCTCTCTATGCGCCTGCATTGGCACTGGAAGCAGTCACTGGCATACCGAGAGGCACAGCCATACTTGTGCTGGGTCTCGTCTGCACCTTCTACTCAACACTGGGCGGGCTAAAGGCGGTGCTCATTACGGATGTCTTTCAGTCGTTCCTCATGTTTGCTGCCATTTTTGCCGTGATTGGTGTGTCAGCCATTCAAGCTGGTGGATTGGGTGCCATCTGGGATGTGGCTCAGGAGCGAGGTCGTGTGCAGTACTTCGACTTTTCAATAGATTTAACCGTCCGTCACACCTGGTGGTCATTGATAATTGGAGGCATGGTCACCTACCTTTCGCTCTATGGCGTCAACCAGACGCAGGTGCAACGACTCCTAAGCGTACACAATTTAAAGAGTGCACAGTCAGCACTTTGGTGGAATTTGCCTATTCTGGGCATGCTTAGCTTTAGCACTATCTTCAGCGGATTGGCAATATTCTACTACTACCGCGACTGCGATCCTGTGCTTAACGGACGCATCATGTCAAGGGACCAAATAATGCCACTATTTGCATTGGATACCATGGGTAATAAGACCAAGTTCTAAGAATCCAATTAACAATTATTAATTTTTGCTTCTGCTTCAGGTCAATATCCTGGACTGTGTGGCCTCTTTGTCTCGGGTATATTCTCGGCCAGCTTATCGACAGTATCTTCGGCGGTCACTTCGCTCTCGGCTGTTACACTGGAGGACTATCTCAAGCCGCTGTACAAAACCATTTTCAAGCGTCCGTTAATCGACTCCCAGTCAACGCTGCCCACCAAAATTATTGCCTGCATTTATGGATTGCTTTGCATACTGTTGGCCTTTGGCGCTGGCTCGATGGGCGGCGTGCTGCAGGCCTCGTTGACCATCTTTGGAGTTGTGGGCGGACCACTGCTTGGCATTTTTACCCTCGGCGTTTGCACCGTGCGTACGAATCAGCGCGGCGTGCTCCTGGGCTTTTTGATAGGCCTTGCCTTCTCCTTCTGTATTGGCTTCGGCGGTCCGAAACCGCCACCAACACCACTGCCCTTCAACACCACCGGATGCGAGCTGAGAAATATAACTGAAGTGGCGCAGGCGGTGCAGGCCACGCTACCTGGAGCAGAGCCGCACTACTTTTGGCTATACCGCTTATCCTATCTGTGGTTCTGTGTGCTGGGCTTCTTAGTCACAATTGGCATTGGGTATTTTGCCAGCCTCGCACTGGCGCACTTCCACATTGCGGACAACTCTCAAATATATTCTGATAAGTACCAAAAGCAGCTGGACTATGATTTGTTTGCGCCGATACTCTCGCGACGCTGGAGACGCCAACAGTTGGCGCAACAGGCACAAGCTAAGCCAGACGAAGCGTTAACAAAATTAACACAGGCAACTGTAGCTATACAATAAGGGAAATCTAATTTATTTTAATTGTTAAATGACATAGTGTAAATTAGCAGAACAGTGGGATTTGCTTGCCAAAAAAACTTGCAGCTGTTTCAGCAGTTGTCGTACCTAAAACGTGCATAACAATGTGACCTATTTGTATACCTGCGTATAACTAAATAATCAACTACTAAGAGCGCAAAATCTCGTCTTCCATTTTGCAAGAGCTAAAACTATATTTATACATAATAATTGTTAACTAGAATATTTTAAATACATGTCTATATACCTCGTAGGGAGAAGTAGCTGATATTCAGTGGGTAAATGTAGCAAATGCCACAAATGCAAATTGCCTCAAGGATTAGTCATAGTTTTGGTGCTGCGTTAGGGACTGACAGCCAAGAGTCTCTAACGCAGGCAACGTCTTAGCTGGTTTTGTTTGTTAAATTAAGTGGGTCTTTCTTATAGAAAATGTGTTACCTTTATAAAATCACCGAATTGCTCATTGCTGGAAAAATGCTTACACATGTACCAACCTGAATACAAACGCACATATATATATATAAACTTATACTATTGACCCCTGTGTGTGCGTAACAAATGAATGAACAAAGTTGAATTTAAGCTACCGAAAGTTTGTTGTATTTTATTGTACTGTACTTATATACTAATATACTTATATAAACATTTATGTAAAGCAACATTTGCTGGCTTTTAATGAAATTTAAGCAATTGCAAACTGTTCGAGTGTGTCGAAAAATAGCTTTTAAATTGAATTTTATTATGAATTCTGTACATGTTGTATACTATATAGACTATCAATTTGATACGTACGAAAATTGATAAGCTAATTTTACGCAATCAGTAAGGTTGCGCGAGGCACTTTCCTATGATTTCAAATGAATGGACAATTTCATAATTTTTATACGCTTTTCCATATCAACATGCCAGCTCCTCTAACGTCATGCATACATCGAGTGCAAAGTGCGATATAAACGCTAATTGCTTGGAATTGCAGGGCAAAGGGTTAACATTGAAATGGTCTTGTTTAGAGACAACAAAAAGTATTTCTAAATTGACTTCGACAAGCTCTAATTGATCTAGCCCATAAATCGAAGTCTCTGCTCACGCGGAGACCCACACAGCCAGAGAGCAGCGTCAGTGAATGTGTGTGGAAAGTTTTAGTCATGCCACAGAGTTCAAAGTACCGAAATTCTGTGTTGACATACATATTTATAAAGCAAAAGAAGAGACAGCGTTAATGCGAAACGTGGGGCCAAAGTCGAAATTGGCTCCATAACAATAGCACTATTCCCATGGCGAAGTATCTAAAAACACGAAACATTTGACACGAATGATAAATACAGTTTAATTGAACGTACAGAAATATAGGGTCAATGGTCTTCACTGTCTTTTAGTTGAGAACATAGCACGTGCAGCAGGCAAGACTTAGTCGGATTCTTGCATCTTTGCGAAATCCATAAAGATATCCTCGAGCGATGTCTCGCTGATCGAATAATGCTTTATTTGCAACAATCTGCGCTTCTGTTCAACGTATCTAAATATCGTGGACCACTTTATGTTTTTGTCGGGTATCACTATAACTATAAAGCCACGATAGGTGAATCTCTCTCTAAAATCAAGAAGTAATCAATGGAAGGTTATAAGAATATATTCCTGTCGACAGGAACTCTTACACGACGTAGCTGTCTGGATAATCAGTCTTGAATGTTGTTTCAATTATTTTCATCATTTCTTCAAATTCATTGAATTCACTTAAAGGAGAGTCATTTTCAAAGGTCTTCGAAAATAGGGATGATTTACCTTTGTAATTTGATGTTCTCGAGCCTAACGGCGTTGAGGTCGCAGTTAAATTCGATTTGTTGTTTCGTTTTTTATAAGTCTGCGTTCCTTTCGTGTTGTTATCCTCCTGAGATATCATAGTCATTCTGGATATCCATCTTTCATCTACAAACAAATTGAATGAGAGATAAGCGCATAGACCCCAATAAGACCCCGATTGCGATTGCGATAGCGATGGCTCACTTATACCTACCAGAACTCTTGCTTAGGCCAGTATCTGAAGTATCTGAAATGAGGAATACAGAAGGTTTTCAATATGCTACGTTGTGAAGGAGCCCAGTTTTTGCTACTTACTGCCACTGCGGGAAAATGTAGCTACAATTCTTTCGCTTGGCACTTCTGAAAAATCGTCCAAGGAGCTCGTCTCAGATCTAAGTGAATGGTCACGATCAGTCAGGTTACTAATGCTGTCGGCTTCGAACTCACTCTAATGTCATCAGTTCCGCGGAGGTCGCCAGTTGGATCCGGATGGTGATGCCCTTACCATAGTCCTGCTTTAGACGTTGTATCGAGCCGTAGTACTGCAGGGTTCCATTGACCATGAGACCCACGCAGGAGCATACCGCCTCGCACTCCTGCATGTTGTGCGTGGTGAGCAGCAGGGTGCAGCCCATCGCGCGCATATCGCTGAGCACCAGCCAAATCTCCTGCTTTGCGCTAATATCCACGCCGGTGGTGGGCTCGTCGAGACAGACGAAGTTATGGCCCATCACGGCCATGGCGATATTTAGTTTCCTTTTGGTGCCCACACTGTAGTGCTTGGTCTTCAGATCGAGCACCTTGGTGAGCTCAAAGCTCTCCGCCAAATGGGCGATAATGGTTGGAATGCAAATCTTTTTAATGCCACATGTCAGGCCGGTAAATTTCAGCACATCCCTGCCGGTCATATAGGGCAACAAGATGTTCTTTTGCGGACAGAAGCCAATGTTCGGTAAGCCTCCTATGGTCATATTTTTCATACTGTTTCCCTTAATAAAAATGTCGCCATCAGATATTAGTCGTGAGCCAATGATCATACTTAAAGTGGTCGTCTTGCCGGCTCCGTTCGGGCCCACCAAGCCGAAACATTCATAGCTGCAACAAGTCAATCAATCCACATATAGCAGATCGGAGATATGTATAACTACGCACGAATTGACCTTCAGGGACACGCAATTGACGGCCACATAGCGACGATACAATTTTGAGATTCGGCGACACACTACACTACATGCCTTCAGTTCATCTGGATCTTTGACGATCGCGTCGATCTCCATGCGTGCTAAGTGCACATTACCATCTCTGTCATTCAGCATACATTCCTTGGGTCGACGCCTGCAAAATAGTTCAGATGGATCACTGTCGTTTATTTGTAGCAAACGCAACCAAAACTTGACCAAACTTGATTGCATATCGCAGGTGAAGTACTCTCGATGCCAGCAACAGGAGTGCGAAGCCGAACATGCCACTTATAAACAGGGAGAGCAGGTATTTGTATGTATTCAGTTCAGCTAAGTCTGAGAAAGTCGCATCATTTAGCCACTGTTTGCGCCTTCAAGCAGAGACCTTACCGCAGCACATGTGGTGGAGTTGACAAAAGGCCTTCATGTTGACCTGGGCGCATGGGGTGCTTGTGCCGCTGTTGGTGGATATTAAGAGTACAGCCCCGTACATGGCATAAAATGGCAGGATCAGGAATATTACATGCAAATATTTATAAACATGGTCATCTTTCAGCGGCATGGCGAAGACAGCCAAGAGCACTGTAATGAAGCAGAATGAATTAGTATTATTTAGTCCTGCCTACGATCGTCAGCTCGCAAACAGTCGATGCAAATGTTGATTGAGCTCTAAAATAGCTGAGAACAATTACAACAAATTACATTGTCAAATCAAAATAATAATAAATAATAGTATCAAAATAATAATCTTAACTTTTCTGCTAATTATTTAAAGAAAAATAAACATAGTTAATCGAAGTCTGAGAATCAGTCCAGAGAAAAGTGAAATTATAAGTCAAAAATATTGTGAAATTAACTAGAAATTTGACCAAGTTTGCCATGTGGTCACAGAGTCCTCTATAGCAAACTCTTGCAGTAATTTGGTAGTAATTGAATTTAAGAGCAGCTTAGGTGGGGCAGTCTTGGAGTTAAATTGTCAGCCTGAAATACGTAAATCTAGTTGCTATTGTAATTACCGACACAGCAATTGATAGCTAGCACGTAGGCCATTCCAGCGCCCGGGTCCTTGAATAAAAATGATAGCAGGTAGGTGGAAATCAGTGCGGAGATAGCGAAGAAGAACAGAAGGACTCCCAACCAGATTAGCACATTTGCTGAGCTTTGATACCATGACAGAAGCACTGACACTATGATCAGCATAAATATGAGCATGTCACCAACCAACTGCGCCAGCCAATAGGTCCACAGGCTAAGGCCATTCATGAGCTGGACATGCCTCAAGTCCGATATATTCTCGTAGACGGGCAGCAGGACAAATGCTGAGACCGCGAAGGTCAGAAAGGCCATCAGACAAGCGGTGTCTATGACAGCAACAAGATTGCTTTGTTCGATTAAAACGGCCAAATCGGAATCCGCACGAGGCTTATTTCTAAATGTAATTTTCAAACCCGACGTATATTCTGCGATTGCTTTTAGGATTAAGCCGTGAGACAGAGCTGCGCCATGGTTCAAGCGTCGATTGTACCACATCGTAATCGTGTCGGAAACTGTCACAGCTGCAACATATGTTTCCGTAAAGCCCTCTACATCTACATAACTGTTGTTCAATAAGTATTGGACAATGCCTTCGGACTCGAGCGTAGTCACTGTGGCGCCGGCATTCATGGCTATTTTCTCATATTGGTTGGCAATCCCTTTGTTATTAATATTATAGGTATCTAGTGGATCTTCGTCGACTGGCAATAGCAGCTCCCTAACGACTATGGCGTTTTGATAGACGGACAGATCCGTGGGATCAATCTCAACTAGGTTATGTTGCTTGTAAACCAATTTCATGATTTTCAGAATCAACAATCCGAATAATGGAACCAAAATAATTAATATATATAACAGGAAATGATTCCACACGTAACGAAACTTCTTCAAAAGCTGTGCCTGCCACTCATTCAGCTGTTTCTTCGAATATCTCAACTCCTGGCTGTCCACCGGGTTGCCCACCCACTCTGTAGAGGGAGACAGCATTATAGAGTCAGACGCAGGCCCTCTCTAGTAACACTTACTTTGCAACTTTTCCAAGGAAGCTTCCGTGTGTTTCTGTGAAAGACTGTTGCCACTAATCTTCAGGAAGGTCTCGCCCAACGTTGGTGCAATCACACCAAAGCTGGACAGCTTGAGCTTGTACATGTTAGTCTCCAGGCCCTTGAATAGATTGGTGAACTTGTGTACTTGCTGAGCGGACAGGCGATACGTCAACTCGAAGCCTATTGAGCTCTCCAGCTCCGCATTTGAAATTTTACTCTCAATAAACTCTGTGACCTCGTCCACATTGCAGTCTTCATCGCCTATGCAGACCTGTATGCGTGACTATGAATACGGGCAGAGGAGCATTGACTGGGTATGCATGTGGGACTTACAAGACGATACCCGGGACCCAGACTATTAATGATAGATTCCGCCGTGCCGTAAGTAAACAGCTCGCCGTCACGCATGATGGCAATTCGATCGGCTAAGAATTCCGCGGCCTCCATGAAGTGCGTGCTCATCAGTATGCAGCGTCCTGCCTTCTCCATGCGCAGCAGCTTCCAGACTTCACGACGCGTGAACGGATCGAGGCAAGCGGTCGGCTCATCGCATACCACCACCTGGCGTGTACAGTGATCTATAGAGCTGTGGATCATTTCGATTTGCACTCACCTTGGTGTTGCCGCACAGCGCGCAGCATACGGAGAGTTTGCGTCTCATGCTAGTGGTAAGATATTCGACTCTAATTGTTGCCTTATCCAAGAGGTCCATTACAGTTAGATATCTTTCGGCCTCCGCCTCAGCCGCGTCCCGTTCGTACCCCTTTAGGCGGCTATAAAACACAAGATGCCAATATGCGCTGAGCTCGTCGAAAAGTATATTATATTGCGGGCAAATGCTGAACGAGCGTTGACCCTTTTGTATGGCTTCGGCCATGTCGATGCCATTTATGCTTATGTTGCCGGATGTGGGCGCCAATACGCCTGCCAGCATCATGAAAGTTGTCGTCTTGCCCGATCCATTGTGGCCGATCAGCATGGTTAACTCATTCTCATAAAACTTGAGGCTAAAGTCGTGCACCACCTCGTGCTCGCCGTAGGTCTTTGACAAGTTATGTGCCTCTATAATGACATTTTTATGGCGCATCAAATCGGATTCGTTGAGTTGAGCTCTGCTTGACATGGATTGCTGCAATGGCTGCTCTTCATCGACAAAGCGACGCTCAGGTCTTTTCCATGGGCACCAGAACGTGCGTTGGCATGGAAAATACCATTTCTTGGCCACACCGAAGTCACCAGGATTCAGTTGATCCACATAAATTGCGACCAAGATCCGCAATATGTTAGTGAACAACATGATCATCAGTATGGTGCCAATGCTCACTTGATCATCGGGATGACTGTGCTTAAAAATGTTACTCCACTGCAAGCCTACTCCCCGAAGCTCGTAGCTATATATCTGGGAAAACATGCTGGGCATTGCGCTGTTCATAAACATACACACAACTAGGGTCTGAATATTCTTGTGCTGGATTCCTATTATTAGATATGGCAAGAAGCTAATAAACTGCATCAGAAACAGCGCGGTCATCGACATCAGGGTGCTAGTCACAAAGGCGGTGATCATAAACGTGAAACAGACCAACGTGAGTATAAACACGATAAAGATTAACATTAGCACAAGAAAATTGGATGCGGGACACATGCACCACTTCATCACACAAACGACGACTACCGTCGGAATAAAATATAGTAAATAGGCGACTATAAACCATGATATCCAGTTCAGTGTAACAGTCAGGCCCATAATGCGCATTATCTCCCTCAGCTGTCGCTGCTTCTCCGCAACAATTTGCTGTAAAGCAAAGGACAACGTAAGCTATGCATGAGACAATGTTCTAAATTGCGATCTATCAGAGCTTGACTGCTCATCCTCCGCATCTTAGGTAATTATAAGTCGATTTAGACAGACAGACAGACAGATCGATTTTCCCACTTTCAATGGGCTTAGCGTAGAAGATATTTATCGCTTTTCATAGATCTACGAATGTAGAGTTCTTGGGCTAATAAACTCCGATACAGAAGCTGGCCAGGCCTAGGCACACATCCAGCTGAAAATGTCAATCTGAATTCCGCCAATCGATAAGGGAAAGGAGTTAAATAGGGAACCTAGCCTAGCACGAGACTTGGTGTTTTAGGATCATCACAACAATTTGGATCAAGAAAATACAAGCACAGCCAACCGCTTGAAAGTGCGCTAGGAAATGGCCACTTGGTAGCAATTTCACCCGAAAGGATGTCATTTTGGTACCACAAATTCAAAAAACCCTAGTGAGATTTTCGTTAAACTTACCTGACCAACAATCAAGCAGGGAGCCATATAAATGAAACTAAAGTACACTGAAAACTTAGAGTATAAAGGTCCCAAATAGGAAAAATCCATGTACATGCGTTCAGGGAAGGCCCGCACGTTTATTTGAGGAGTAATGTGTGAATGATTCTGCCCCAGTTGCAATGCCTCGAATAGTTTCGTCTCCACAACTAGATAGCCTTCGTATTCATAGGGGGTAGTCTCGGAGGCTTCACGGGATCTCGAGAATAAAGTGTCAGGCCAACTTCTCATTGTGCTTTTCTTTGAGCGAAAATGTTTTGGAAATCGGAGTGCGACATTTAATTCCGATGGCAATTTGTCAATGGCTACAAGCTTATCTTCGAACTCTATGCCCACAAATCCATCTCTCTGCTGAAGTGCTGTCTCCATATCAGATGCGTATGGAAAAGATTCAATAACGGTCGTGCCCAAACTATCTGCCATGTCTTCAATGACTTCGTCAAGGATTTTGTTGAACGGGGAATAAAATATTGAACTAAGGAAAAGAATTCGACATGCAATCGAGCCTATCTTCTATGCTTAAATACCCACGATACTCTGACCATCGTTATATCAAGTAGTCCAAACTTCCGTTCATCAACAGATATTGGAGTGTGAATATTGATGACTTGGTCGAGCTGAGTGTACATGAAGGCAAAAATGGGTAATAAAGTTATGCATGCTATGCCAACCGGATGAGCTAAATGCACACTTATATTTTTGCAGATTAATAATCGCAACTTCTTAGAAGTGCCTTGTTTAATTGTTCGAGGTTCTGTAGCCGTTGACATTTTAATTTTTACTTTGCTTTCTGAATTTTTGAAATATAATGCTAAGCTCTTAGCCAACACATTTCAGTAATACAATATAAGTCTTAAATGACGTAAATTTTTTCACTCTCCTGTTAACCACTGCACTTGAAATTTGTATACACGATTTTTGGGATTTTTCTTTTTTTTTCATTTTAATTAGTGTTTCTTTTTTTTTTGTATATTGTGTAGAGAAGAATTGTAACCAATAAAAGCATCCGCCTGAACACAGGAATCGCTGCTGCATTAGCCGCAAGCTTACTTCTTCTTGGACACACCAACGGTACGACCGCGACGACCTGTTGTCTTGGTGTGCTGACCACGGACACGCAGACCCCAGTAGTGACGCAGACCGCGATGCGAGCGGATCTTCTTCAAGCGCTCCAAATCGTCACGCAGCTTGGAATCCAAGTTAGATGAGGTCAGCTGCGAGTATTTGCCATCGATGATGTCCTTCTGTCTGTTAAGGAACCAGTTGGGCACTTTGTATTGCAGCGGATTGGAGATGATGGTAACAACCTTATCAACCTATCGAACAAATGTAAACAATGAAAATATTGGCTCTCCATAGAGATAGTTGATATTTACCTCCTCCTCGGTGCATTCACCAGCACGCTTGGTAAGATCCACATCGGCCTTCTTCAACACAATGTTGGAATAGCGACGACCAACACCCTTGATGGCAGTCATTGCGATGCCAACCTTGCGTTTGCCATCGATGTTCGTATTCATGATACGAAGAATGTGCTGGAACTTCTCTGGGATAACGAGCGACTGCAATATAAACATATTTGCATTATTAGCAAGTTCATTGGTACGGAGTCAAGCATAAACAACAAAAGCCGAAATTGCATTTCCGCCCAAATTAGCGCAATTATTTAGCCACTTATAAATTATTTAACTGCACCATTTGGGTTTCACGACATTAAATTTGACGTTCATTTTACGTTATAGCAAAAACCCGAAACTTTTGTTGTTTGATTAAGTAGATATTTCATGATTTTTATGCAGACGCACCATTTTGCCCTGTTAAAGCGACAAATATTCAGTCGAAAAAGAAAGCGGATGTGCTGCTTCTTTCCACTTTTGACATTGACATTTCGAAAAACGGTGTGCAACAACGTTTAGTAGTTTATATTTATGGAATTTAACAGGGTTGCTCTGAATGCGACAGCCCTGGAAAAACTGCCGTTATATCAAAAAATTTTGCTGTTTTTATAATGAGTGGTAAAAGTCTTTTATTATTTAATTATACGATTTTTACATCTAAATATTTCTAGCGCTTAGTTGTGTAACCGAGAATGATATTTTGAGTTTGCGTATTATATGCAAGATAGAAGCTAATCAACAGTATAAAATTGAGGAAGTGGATAAGTACGGAAATACTGCACTGCTGAAATCTTGCTATCTGGGCAGATTGGAATGTGCGCTTATATTGCTAGAATTCGGAGCAAACATTTATGCCGTCAATTATTTTGGCCAGAACGCCTTAACGCTGGCCAGCTATTGCGGTAATATGCAATTAGTGCTGGAGTTATTACATCGCCGCTCATACCAGGACTTTAATTTATCTTCGCTATTACCGGCCGTTTGCGTAGCATCCATGCGGCAGCACAAGGTTTTAGTGAAATATTTTATGAATTTAGATCCAATAGGAACACCCAATTTACGAACAGTGCATGGTAAGTTAATTGATTGCATGCTTACACATTATTTTAAAAAAATAATTACTAGGCCTTGGACTAAATGATATGGGTCAGATGGTAAAACGAAAACTCAGGAATCTATCGCAAAAGAAAATGATTAATAATGCCATTAATTAAGTGTATATTTTTAAATAAAATTTCTTTTTGAATAAATTTATGCTTAAATTCTTCAATACTTACCAGGGATGCATTCATTCAACCCTAACACATATGTACATGATGGCGATTGGGCAACGTTCGCCTCAGCGCAAATTGACAGCTGTTATTCGCGCCAAAATGCAAGTTTTGCCGCGGTAGAATTCATTGAATAGTATCAAAGGTAACACGCAGCATCGACGCGTTCCTAAAAATTGCGAAAACTATCATTCCAGAAGTACAATTAAAATTAAACAATAAACATGTTTGAAGCACGTTTGGGACAAGCAACTACACTGAAGAAAATCTTGGATGCCATAAAAGATTTGCTAAATGAAGGTACTTTCGACTGTAGCGATTCTGGTATACAGGTAAGAAGAACCTCATTTAGATCATAAATTAGATATTTATGAAAAGTTGCGTGTTCTATTTTCAGCTTCAAGCCATGGACAACTCCCATGTGTCGCTTGTTTCGCTGACGTTGAGATCTGATGGTTTTGATAAGTTTCGCTGTGACCGTAATCTCTCTATGGGCATGAATCTGGGCAGCATGGCAAAGATCTTGAAGTGCGCCAACAATGAGGATAATGTGACTATGAAGGCACAGGATAATGCTGACACAGTAACCATCATGTTCGAATCGGCTAATCAAGAAAAAGTCTCCGACTATGAGATGAAACTAATGAATCTCGACCAAGAGCACTTGGGTATCCCAGAAACGGAATATTCCTGTGTGGTGCGCATGCCGGCAATTGAATTTGCACGCATTTGTCGTGACTTGGCTCAGTTTAGTGAATCCGTCGTCATTTGCTGTACGAAAGAGGGCGTCAAGTTCTCTGCCAGCGGCGATGTTGGAACTGCCAATATTAAGTTGGCTCAAACCGGCTCAGTGGACAAAGAGGAGGAGGCTGTTATCATTGATATGCAGGAGCCAGTCACGCTGACCTTTGCTTGTCGCTACCTGAACGCCTTCACCAAGGCAACACCGCTCTCTACTCAAGTGCAGCTGTCAATGTGCGCCGATGTGCCGCTGGTGGTTGAATATGCTATAAAGGATCTGGGCCACATACGCTACTATCTAGCGCCAAAGATTGAAGATAACGAAACATAAAGTTGTCGTGAGATACATCCAAAACGTATTCATATTTACAATTTTACATTACCGCATAATTCTCTTTCATACGACATCCTCTAAGTTTTAAGATTTTTCATGCAACATTTCCTTTGGTCAATAAAAAAAATATATATTACTTGTTGTTTGGCAAAAACCATTTAATATCATAACACTGGGTACATTTAATTATCAAGAGTTGGCATGTGGTTATTAAACTATAACAAATAGCCTAAATCTGTTGTCGGGGATTAAACAGCAACTTAGATTTGTCAAATTGAACATTTGCAAATGAAATAAGTTTTTCTATGTATAAAACTGCAAGCTTCCAAATGTCATTAATTTAAGCTAAATACATATACATATATTTAGATACATGTATATCGGTATAATGAAAGTACTCGTTCATAACAGGCACATTTTTGAGAGTTTGCATGAGTGTTGTGCGAGTACATTTTTGTTTCTTAGTCAAAAAATATTTTAGAGCGTGTTTACACGCTCTCAATACTTGAACAATTGGCTGTGTAAATATGGAAGCATTAGCCTATCTATTATATTAGCTATACCTGCCATTACAAAACATATAAAGCTTATCTAGTTCGGTTGTTCATAATATCATATATAAAAGTGTATAAAAAACATTCGAGATGCGACAAAAAGCAAGAATTGTGCGACACAAACAACATGTCCATGTTGCATATAACAAACCGTGTATAAATATTAATATATGAATATAAATATGTATATATATATATATATATAATATATGTATGTAAGGATTAGTACATATTCTTTTTAAGGCGCTGCCGATGCAGCAGAGCACGCGCTGGCACTGGAGGTTGCGTCGTACGCGGTGCTATCATCGTTGTTATCTTTACTTGCCTGGAGCAATGCCTGCAGAGATTTGATGCATTGCTTCGATCCATCCATTGCCTCATTGGACAACTGTAAATAAGTTGGTTAATTAGTTTGCATGACTATATTAAATATATTGACAAATCGCACCATTGTAAAATTAAGAAAACCATGAGGCAAGCCTTCAAGTATATCTAAATGTACTTGCCCACCCAGGCGCTTCAGTTTTTTGGCAAGCATAACGCAGTCATCAAGGCAAGGATCCATGTTTAGCGTCTGCAAGAATTATAAATAATGGTTAATTCAGCTATATATTTCGCTCTAATCGTTACTTACTAGTATTCTGGTCTCTGGTAATTGGGAGAGCCATTCGTCGCTGGCCCAGTATGGGGACAGAAATGGATCTTTGGGTACATCAAAGGCAAACTCTTCGCTGGGACTGCGGGCAATTAAAGCATCTAAATTGCGAACATCTTGGGGACCAGGCATAGCGGTGCTATGTATCTCATACGATTGGGTGCAGCGATTAATTATATTGTTAACAGCCTCTTGTAACCGACCAGGCAAAGTATCTACAATAATCTCACGACCTGTCTCAATTATAATGTTTTCCTCGGAGTTGCTGTTCTTGTGTCCATTGGCCAGTGGCAATTGCGCAGTTGTTGTCGTGTTATCCTCCGTGGCTTCTATAGTAGCCGTGTCAATCAGATACTTATCTAGAAAATTGTCAATATAGGCGGCAGATTCGGCATCTTTTGGTATTTCTGCAGAGATTTCAATCGGGTAATGTTCGATGGGTTGCGAGTCATCTTCGAATGACACACAGGAGCTATTGTCGCTATTGTCAGTGCTGGGCAGCTCTGTACGCTCTACCGTTTGACTGTGATAAGAGGCACTGGCAAATGTGTCGCTACTTTCATCTTCATCCGAACGATTGAGTGGCTCTAGCGGCGTCAATGGGCTTTTCGCCGTTGAAGTGCGTCGACTGGAATTCATGCTTTGTGTCAGCTTCTCCGCTTCCGCCATGGGCGCCTGTGCGTTGCGTATTTCCTCCAGCTGCTCCACATGCTTGGCATTCTCCTGCATCATTTCATTGGAAGGTGCCGCGTATGCGCGTAGGCAGCGCATCATAAAACCAAAGGGCAGCAACGGATCCATTAGACACAGCATCCTCGCCGGACTGGGCACAAAACTAACTAAGGTGGGGCAATAGGCCAGAAACAGACCATCTGGCACTCGCACATTCTGCTCAATGCACTTGAGTGCCAAGCCAATGGAGAGATTCGCGCCCGCTGAATCACCAGCACATATAACACGCTCTGCTGTAGTACCCAGATGTTCTGCGTTGTTTAGCAACCAGCAGTAGGCGTAGTAAACTTCCTGCAATGCACGTGGAAAGGGTGCCTCCGGTGCCAGACTGTAGTCCACTGAGAGTATAGGCACATCCAGCGCCACAGCCCAGTCGCGCAGATATAGCTCATGTGACTTTGATGATTGCGCCACGAAACCGCCGCCGTGGCAGTGAAATAATATTGACTTAGAAGGTGCCGATGGGCGACGCCAGCCACGATAACGTCCTTCACCGAGCATACCAGCTCGTCGCTTCGCACTGAGCAGGCGCACCGAAACCGGCAGCCCAGGTCCTAAATGTGCACTGGGCACGGGTATATCAACGAAATGCAGTTCATTCTCGGTGTCAGACGTGTTATCTGTTTGCTGCACACGTGCTGGCAAACGAAGGGGCTCGGCGGGTAATTCAATAGTGCGATTAACTTTGATGGAGCTGCCCACAATGCTGGGAAGCTTGTGCATTAGCTCCGATTCGGCAAGAAACCAGAATGACTTGCAAAAATCTATTTTCGCATTCTGCGAAATGTTTACAATGCGTCTGGCGCGTAATTCCGGATTCATAAGATATTTACCGCTCGACCAGAGGCTGCGAGTTGTTTTTAACAGCGAGCTACTACTATTGTCTGTTTGCGAGTAATACGTTTCCGAGTAGCTAGCCATGCCAATGCCTAGAAAGCGGAGCACGCCACGTATTGAGTCGCCATACTGAAAACCCAAGCAGCGGCCATAGAAACAATACTGATTGATGGTGTCGCCCAACTCGAAGAGCTGTTCAGCCGTATGCCGACCGCTGGCAAGCAGATCGCCTGTATTCACCGACCATTGGCGCAGTATCAACAGATACTGTAAGCAGGTGCAGATCGAACAGAGCAACTGGGAGCAGGCCTCTACCTCCTTCATATAGAACTTTTTGCGAAAGAAAAGTGTGCCGCGAGTGGCAAGCAGATGCTGGCAAATGTCGAGTCCATGTTTAATGCAGGCATTAGTTACGTAGATAAAGCTACGATATCCGTTGCCCGGTGTCAATTCGTCAAAATCATATTCGTGAGCAAATAACTCGATTTGCGACACCAGTCGATTCGCAAGAACTATGAAATCTTGCCAGGCAATGTGTGCGGCATGCAACCGTTGTCCATATTCAGTGTGATCCTTGGCGAAGAATGCGGCATGTTCCTGACAATTGGCGTACAATTTGAGATAGGTAGGCTGAAAATCGGCGGGTGTAGGAGTGGGCGTGACTGTTTGTGCTGATATTACTTTTCCATTAAGCTCGTCCTTCGACCGAGCCAACTTGATGTTATGTTCAAAGTGTGCAGTTGGCTTTGGAGACCGATTGCCCACCTCAGATGCTTCCACTGCGATCATTGCGGAGCTAAAAAATCGACGAAAGAATATATATTAATTAATTACACATATGATCTACTTAAATTGTAAATTAATATATTTGGTTTATAGTGTAGACTTCAACAGTAGAGAGCTTACTAACTAGCAGCTTAACAACTTTCACTTTACAAACTACGCAATATCCAATTTTGAGTTTTTAATTACTACACTGTAGATCTTTCACTTGCATACCCTAAATGAAATCCGGGAGTGCGAAGCTTACAGCTTTTATTCACTTAATAGCTACTTTACTTCATGGCTAACACATTTTATTTAAAGTCATCTAATTAAACTTCTATTTAAATTCAGCAATCCAAATATATTTGTATGTAATAGTGTTGACTAGTGTATTTTCCGCTTGAACAAGTTTATAATGTTAATGATTCATTTTATTATGATTATTCATCTATTGTTCTCAGTTTTCTATTTTAAATTGTAATTAGCCAAATAAACTTCTTTGTGTATATTATAGTACCATTCCAATCAGCTTAACCAAGTGGGTAACCCAAAAACAATCACAACAACTAACCACAAATAATAAAGCAGAACCAGTTCAGTCTCAGCTGATCAGTTCCAGGTTAACCAACAAATGAGTTTGTATTTTCCAGCACTGATTCAAAGCATCGATATATCGATAGCATAACTCATAACATCACACTAATTTTATTTCGCAACAGAATCATCGGATCAGTGCACTGCATTTGCCGCAGCTTATTGTTCATTTACATTTTTAGTAAATGTAAACGTTTTAGTACTCAAATTAAAATAATGTACGTAAGGGCTGAGTGAGTGTTAGAAAAATAGTATACGCAATCATGAGTGTCAGCATCGTGCAGTACTATGGCGCGCAGACGAGCAAATGTGGCTATTGTGCGGGCACAAACTGCAGCAAATCGCACGGTAAGTGTGCTATACAGAATATTACTTCCAACATGCTTATTTCTTTGTGTATGCGTCATGCAGGTATGCATGCATATCGTTTAGCCTGCGAAGACTACCAAGACCTGATCGATCGCGGCTGGCGACGCTGCGGCAATTATTGTTATAAACCGCAAAACGACAAAACCTGCTGCCCCTGCTACACGATTAAGTGCGATGCTCTGGAGTTCAAACTGACGAAGTCCAATAAACGCATTTTGCGGCGCATGAATAAATTTCTGCGGGATGGGAAGCGTGAGCCGAACGAAGAGCATCAAACGCCGGGTCAACCTAAAAATGGTGATGGCGATGACGTTGCTGTGTTGAGCAATGTGAACGAGTCTCAACCCCAGATACCTGATAAGAAGCCTTCAATAATCAATGTGGAGCATGTTGAGAGCTTAGTACAAGCGCGTGTCGAACAAATAAATAGTGAGAACGACATTCAAGTGGCAGGCGACCCATCGGCGTCCTTGTTAGCAAGCAACAAAATAAAAGGTAGGCACTAACATATTTTTAATATAATATGCAATGCTTAATTATATTTTCATTTAGGCCTTGCACCCAACTTGAATCCTCCACGCAAGAAGGCGAAGCAAATGCGCCTCGAGCGCAGGCAAGCCAAACTGGGTGTCCCGCATGAACCGCCACAGCTACAACAACAGCCAAAAATGCAGGAGAAGAGCTTGAAAGATTTTCTATCGGCTCCCAGGGAAACTGATAAGCATAAATTAAAGGTATGTATGTAAGCAAAAAAAAAAGCAAAATCGCTATTCAAATATAATCGTAGACAGCTCGTGATAAGCTCAGGCAAATCATAATATACTCTACTTAACTATGTCGAGCTGCATTCTGGTTTGTCTGTAAGCAAGTGTCCCTTGACAAATGTGTACACATTGCATCCGCTTGTAAAACTGTGTGTGTGTGTGTGTGTGTTAACATTCTTTTTATTGTAAATAGATAGTTATATGTTTCGTATTACGCGTGTCCCATTTATGTCCCTTTTATGTACACACATCGTATTTGTGCTATTTGTTGCAGATCGCTTTGGTCGCTGCCTCAGATACACAGCGCACTTGTACAGATGCAGTATTCGCATTGTATCGCAAATATCAATTAGTCATACACAATGATAATCCTGCACGCCTAACATTAGATAGCATGCGGCGGTTTTGGGTTAAATCGCCCCTAAAGGTAATTTTAAATGACTTTCTTTTTTCTTCTTTTATAAATTTGACTACAGCTGCGTTTGGTGAATGTCGATGGCGAAGAATTTAAGCGCACGTTACCGCAAAGCTATGAGCTGTATAAGAAGTATCAGATTGCTATACACCATGATCCACCCAAAAATATGAAAGCGTACCAGGAACATCTGCAACACTCGCCCATTAAGGTTGCTAATTAATCAAATAAGAAATGTTTAATTATAAAATACAATAACTATAAAGATCATAAGACAATTCTAATCTGAGTGTTGGCTTTACTTACAGCACAAAAAAATTGAAGGTTCACCGGACGTGGGCTTTGGTTCTTTTCATCAGCAATATTGGCTGGATGGCAAGTTGATCGCTGTTGGGGTGATTGATATATTGCCAGGCTCCGTTAGTTCAGTTTACTTTTTTTACGATCCTGACTATAGCTTTTTATCCTTAGGCACATATGGTTCTTTAAGGTAAGTTTGAAGTGTAGCCCTTTGAAGTAAAAATTATTGATATATTTATTGATTTTTAGGGAAATCGACTTGGTGCAAACAATTGCCGAGCGAGTACCAGCTTTAAAGTATTACTATATGGGCTTTTACATACACTCATGTCCTAAGATGCGTTACAAAGGCAAATTGTCTGCCTCTTATCTACTCTGCCCAGAGACTTACGTATGGCTCCCCTTAACGGACGGTAGCTAGCTAATTGTTGATTATTAAATATTTATACTTGCATTATATTATGATATTGTATTTTGTATTTTGTTAGACATGCGCAAAAAACTCGACGAGAAAAAGTATCATCGCTTAAATCCGGATGCCTCAGCAAAGGATGTGAATGAGTTTTTAAATCAGCATTTAAATGATGTAATGCTGCTAGATACCCCTCAGACCTGCGTCAGCTACCGTAACTTCATACAAGTAAATAACTTTTTGTTTATTGCCAGCACATCAAAAAATACTTTCCCCTTTTTTGCTTTTGTTGACAGCTAACTGGCATTGATGGCAACCGCGATGCGATTATCGAGTACAGCAAACTCGTGGGTAGAGTATGTGCACAGCGCATGCTTTATGTGAATATGTCTTGAAGGGCATTTTGTTGACGAGCTACTATTGTACAAGAATTCATTAATCTTTGCGCCTATATTCATTTATCACGCAATTAAGCTAAATATACCTTAACTAAGTAGTGCAAAATTATGTCATTCAAATGTTTTAGTGTGTTTTTTAATGCTTCACATGCTGCTGTATCACTAAAAAAAATTAAAAGCAGAGAAATGTTGAGCGAAAATATATTAATAAAATATTAAACCAGTTTTAATCGATGCAGCCAAACGGGGGGCTTGGTAAAACAAATACTATACAAATAAAAATATATGTTTTCTTACTGGAAATATTTTAGATAAAAGAGAGCACGAACACTAAGCAAATTAGCAGCTTTTATCAGAAACTCATCGCAGCTTATCTGCAGGCAGCTAAATGCATCAATAAAATTAATTATCTGACAACACAGGCGCCCGCTCTGGTTAGTTTCCAGCTTCTACTCGTATTTGTCACGAGCATTTATAATGTTTATCAAAATCTCTCAGCATGTTTAGATGTTGGTAAGGAAGCTGACAAGTGCGAGTGCTTCAAGTTGAGGCTGCGTATCTCTTTAATGACATTCGAATATAAACGAATATCTAATTTAACGACTATGGAATACTCTAATTACTCAGTTAGCAGAGGCACAGTTAATTTCATTTAGATAAACTCGTCATAGGTAGGTGAGCACTACAATTGAAATGTGATGTGAATGCTTTAATAAAGTTCCCAAAATTTTTAGGTTGAAAAAATAAATTAAATTAAGCCTCGCTAATATTGTAATTTAACGCTCGCTTGTCAAATTTGCGAGCATTTGTCAAACGCGCTAATTAAAAAACAAAAACATTTTTATCATTATTTAGCCAAGCTGATGACCGTTTTTGGCAACACTGAACGTGCGGCTTTTTGCTGTTGTTAAGCACAATATATACTTAATGCTTCCACGAGTTAAGGTATATATTATAATAATAATAATAAATTATTAAATTCCGCCTCAATGTAATCATTAATCATGTGATTTATAATACTCACTACTGTGAAGGGTATTCGCAAGTCAGCTATCTGAGTTCGTGTTGATTTTGGGATATTTCTTTTGTTAGCGATTCATAGGTATGCTAAAAATTTACATAATTTTGAATTATAATTTTTTAATTACCAAAGCAAACACCGCGGCGCGTGTTGTTGCTTGCTTTTTTTTAAGTCAGGATTGTGAAGAATCTAGAAATTGATTTTATAAAAAAAAAAATATTTATGACTTAAGCTCAGTCTTTGTTGCAATAAAATCACGAATTCGTCAATATTTTAAACTCATAAATTCTCTGTAGTGCAATAAAACACGCGATTTTTTGAGTTTTTTGTCCAGCGCGCTATCAAAACAAAGCTAGAGCAAGCTAGAGACTATCAGAGAGAGGGAGAGAGAGAGAGAGCGAGAGAATAGCTGCTAGCGTCGCAGTCAACAACAATTTAAATAATTTTTAACCGTTTATTTTGTTTTAGCATTGGTCGAGGTTTTGCTTAAAACGTCGTCTCTGTCGCCGCTGCCGCTGCTGTTGCCGCTGGCGTTGCCGTTGCCGTTGCCGTTGCCGTCAGGCCATCGCACATAAGTTAAGTGAAGTATATATGCCATTGGCTGTTGCCGATTTAGCTTCATTCGTTACGCGGCATTCTCAGCTGTAGCACCTGGCATCCAGTCCAGTAACTCCCAAGCCCAAAATATATATATATATAATTACATATATATAGCTAGTGGCAAATCGGGCGCTGAACGCGTACCCAAATTGTGAGTGTAGAGAAGTGCGTGTGTGTCATCATTACTTAATGTGAAAATAAACAATTTGGCTCAATTGCGAAAGGACTGAAACAAAAGAAAGCTAAACAAAAAACTAGCATTTAGTTGCAATCTCTCTGACCGGTGTCATGGAAAAATTTCTTGCATGCCATTTAAAGTGTACCAAGTAAACAAGATGTTTTGCTCTTGTATCGAAGATCGTAGTGTTTAATCAGTTTACAAGTGGGACAAGTGCAACCAGCTCTCAGAGATGAGCACAAATGGCAGGCAAGGAATCAGTTAGCTGGAAAGGAGCTAAAGAACTGAGAGCCTTGGCGCCAGTTGAGATGCTTAGAGCACAGATCACAGCCCAGTTACCAAATGGAAGCCAATCACACGATTTCAATTTTTATTTTTTGCTTTTGGTTTTATTTTAAGTATTTCTCATCTATTTAGAGCTGCGTGTTTCTATTTGCGTTAATATATGCACTTCAGTTATAAATCGGAATTTCAAATAGCAACTGGTTTGTGTTGTTGGCGTGATATTTGTATTTTTTTAAATGCATTTGACCAATATTTTTCTATCGAATTTCATTCTGCACGTTGCTGTTTTTAATTTATAAATCGCGTTTCAGATGTGCCATGCTTATGCAACACAGTCAAATGGATTTGGAAATTTCTAGCTGTTTTTTTCCGAATTCTTTAGCATTTTTTACTTGTTAATTTGCTGGAAAAAACATCGTTTTCTTTTTCGTAACGTGCCATTTTTCACATTGATTTTGCATTAATCAAGCTGCTAATTATATGATCAATTATTTTGACTACTTCGCACAAACAGTGCTACGATTTTATTTTGTGTACCATGTAATTGCGGGTTGTGCAAATAGGTTTTTTATTTCGAAAGTTAATTATAACGTGCAAAAATGTGATTCCATGGGTATTAGTGCAATGTGTTAAATTCGATTTGGTTGTGGAGAGTACGTAACAACTATGTATAAATCAAATCAAATCGTATACGACAGCTCCAGGTGGGAGTGCCCGACAAGCAAATACCCTGAGCACCGAGTCAAGCACCTCTTGCAAGCATTCTGGCTCACACACACACACACACGTCTATTGACACGCATGCCGCTCGCCTCGCATTTTACGCCCACGCCATGCTTCTTCTTCCCTAGCCTTTGAAGAAATGTGCTATTGAATAACTTCGCTGTTAACTGTTTCATTCATGAAGTGGCAAAACTTTCTAATTACAAAACTCAATGGGGAAATGGGGAGAGGAATACAAAATCTGGGGTATTTGATATCTGTGTGGGAATGGATATTGTTGCTCGAGATGTGTTCGAATAACTGAAGCACGATATAGTTAAGTGTAAATGCTATTCATTACTTGATCTGCGCTTGCTTTAGCAGGGCCTCTATACAACTTTTTAAGGATTCAGGCATCCATAAGATAAGTAGTCAGATGCGAATTTGTAGATCTACTAATCAGTTATATACATCGCTGGCTACACCTGCATCAGCAGAGCTAATATACCCTGCATACGCATGTTCAATGCGTTCGTAGTACAATAAAGCAAGAATAACTACACCTAACTGGCTCATTACACATATTTCAATTTTATGTGAGATACGGTTCATTGCCACTGAATTAACCACAGTGCACGATAGCCAAGCAAACTGACTAAAACCAATTTGTTTAAAATGCTCTTTTCAAAAGCCAAGCCAACAGAGAGAAAGAGAGGGAGAGAGAGAGAGAGAAGGAGAGGGAGAGCGAGAGAGAGAGCAAGTGAAAGATATAAACTACCAAACCATGTCAATTGTGAGCTCATGTCTTATGTAAATGGTTTAAGCACGCGTGCTATGGATATATAATATGTTATATATTCATTGGTATAGGTATTATGTTTCTATACAGCGCACCGGCCATCCACAGCTAACGGTTTGATTGTGCTCTTTGGCCAAGATCCAACACTGATATCGTGATATCACAGACCCCCATCGTTTGATGCATGTTTTTGTTTTCGCAGCCAGTAAATCAAATCAGTATGGCCCAATAAATATCGTGTATTGCAGCAACAGTTCATGCATAGGTCCAAAACTATATTATTTTGTTACTTTACAGCTAATTGAAGATTAAGCTAACTTTAATGAGTGCCATTTAGCCAGGCCTCTTTATCAGGCGACCATGCCCGATCGTATATTTTATAATAATGATTTTTTTTGCCTTGCCCTCGTCATATAATATCATAAATTTCTGAGCTGATTTTATAAAGCCAGGTAAAAATGACGCCTTATCAAGCCACGCTCCCGATTAGCTAATTAGACACACTCTCAAACTCAACTATACGATAAAGTCGCAGTCCGTGCAGGTCTTTGTTTCTGATCGTAAATATACGAACAAGTGTAATGACTGCGGTTGCTAACTGTCTGCTATAATTAGGGTCTGAGGTAGCTAATGGAGTTCCAGCCCTATACATATATACATTTTAAAAGCTGACTCAAAGCACTGTAAAACAGATTTCTTAAACTAATTGTTTCTATAAATTAAAAAGCAAATTTATTTGTGCTGATTCATGATATCCTAACTCACTGAAAATGGCTAAGCGAGGTGCAATGAGTGGTTATCGAGGACATGAGCTACCTCATAGAGTGTTTGAGAATTGATAAGGATGAACAGATAGTCCTATCTATCTGGGTTTTTGTCAGTGTATCCTTTCGTATTATAAGAGCTAGGCTCTTGGAATCCCACACATACTTCAACTATGTCACATATCACCTATCGTACGTTCTAGAATCATCAAATTTGGTTTTAAGATTTTCTCAAAATATACATAATGGATACTATCAGCCATTCCCCTCGAAATCTAAATCAAGACGAAAAGAGAGAAAGTTGCCCATATTTATATAAAGTAGATTTTGCTATTCAGCAGCTTGGCATGGGGTTCAGGGTCTGATCATTAGCGAACAGATCGTGTTTCCTTGTTATTTTTTGGAAACAGAAGCGTTAAATCAGTAAACAGTTTCTATTTCATATTATGCAATACACGCTTGATATAGAGATTAATATATACATATAATAATATTTTATAAACTTATATAATTATAATGGAATTTAAACAGCCATCGCATGTTAACAATAATATGTTTTAGTGCACACAAATGAAGCTTTTAGGATATCAACGAGATAATTAGGTGACTTAATTAACCTGCGAAGCTAATTGGCTGTATCTATAAAGTATTCATTTTAGATTCTTCTGCTGGCTTAAAGTTAAATATGGCATATCTTAAATGGCAATTCTATTTTTGGGATATACATACATAAGAACCTCATGCCTCCAATGCTAATGCAAGTCACGTCGTCGAGTGTCTATGGATAGCTTATTTATAAAATATATATAGACACGTCATAATTGCATACATTTAACTACCGATCAAGTTCGTATACCCAGAGACTGCATGGAGTTTTTATTTTTAGTGTTTTTATTGAGCTGTTGGGTTTTGCCATAACATGATAGCCCAGTATTATGGAGCTATAGCATGGGGCTATATACTTTATTAGTATAGTTAACTTTCGATTTGTGCTTTTGTTGTTCTTCAGTTTTTATTGTTATATTATTATTTGCTTTAGATTTATTCCGGTCATTGAGAACTTTGGCAAAGCCACGACGAAACCCGATTGCTTATCACAGCAAACAAACACAAAGACGTTTTTATGGGGTCCACTTAGAAGCCATTTGTATAGTTCTTGGAAATAACGGCTCGGACTGTGCCAAGAGTATAATTCCGAGATACCTGCTATTTGCCGGATTTTTTCTTATACCACGAAACTGTTGATAATAGGTAAATGTTCTTGTTTAAATTTGTGCAACAGTTAGTATCAACTGTCAACCAATAACAGCAGATCGTATTCTATATGGTATAGTATTCGATATATATAGTAGGTCATTCTTGACAAGACTCGCTCTAACACGATATAAACGTTTCCTTTTTGGCTTCCATCTTTGCAGCTAATTCAGATCAAGTTCATGTTAACCTTGAGATATCTCTCGAAATAAATTCAAATCAAACTTATTTGACCTAAAAGGTCATTAATTTTGGTCTATTGATTATGTATGAAGCGTAGTGCTTGAATGTATAAATAGTTACCCACCTGTTGGATATAAATATATATACATATACACATTATCATGGCTTACTCAAGACTTGGAAATTTATAAAATTAATTTCACAAAAGTAAATTAATGACGATTGCTTATGAGCTGAACTTGTGGGCAAGGATATGACCAAGAGTGCTTACAACAGCATTTCATCCTTGTATTCAGGGTATTAACTAGTCGGACATTGCCACTTTAGCTTGCTTGCTAATAAATTGTGAATGATTTACAAATCAGCTGTTATATATCAGGCGACTATGGCTCGTAAATTTACTTTTTAAGTTAGCTGAGATTTGTTCAATTTTCGAAATAAATGTCAAAGCAGCTGTTATGAATGTGTGTGAAATACATCAAGCAAGAGTAAAGGATGGCTCACCATAAACTTCTCATTGAGATGGACAGCCTTGAGTGTCAGCTGCCAAAATGATGCTAGAAGTGAGAGAGACGTCAATTGAAAATTCTGAAAATTTCAGAAACTCAATTAAAATGTATTACAATTTATTGCACATGAGTGTGTACCTGGCTAACAGCTGTACTTAACCCTGTCTGACTAATATTTACACACGTAAATTAGACGAGGCTAAATGCCAATTGGCGAACTGCATGTGCAATATTGTGAGTGGCTTTCAAACAGCTGTCCAAATTGTATCCAATATTCGAATTCGACGTGCCAAGGGCGTCATTATACACTCACACACGAACACCACTCCTGTCAAGCGTTTATGCATTTGCAAATGCAATTCTAGATCTTTTTTGTTTTCGTTTTATTTTTTTATTTTTTTTTGGGATTGTATCTGTACAGTTTTGTATTGGAATAATTTTGAAAAACTATTTAGTGTGGCGTGTTTGGGTGCAATTACCTTATCAAAAGGCTGCTGCAATGGCCACAATGACAGTCAGCTAACTAAAATATATATGTATACACACATAAATCAAGAATTAAATCAAAAACACTTTAAAAAGTTCATGACAACTTTTTGATACTGCGATTTGTCATGTTCATAACTCAATTTGGCTTGAATGCTGCTCACGTGCCTGGCCAAAATGGTAACTGAGACGTGCTTAAACTGTTTGTCAAATAACAATAATCACATATCTCTTTGATGTCGGAAATATAGATATGGTAACTGTATTCAGATGACACGTGTAAACCAAGTTGTGCTAAAAACCCGACTAAGAGATATACTAATAATTTCGTGTTAGATGCCGAACGCTTAGGTATTTCCCTTTCCTCCAAACAGGGAAATCAAATTTCATAAGTTCACTCTTGTTTGTTATTTGAATTGAAAATTATGAGATCTGGGTTTCGCAACACAATGGATGCTAAGTGTCGCTCAATGAATCGTGAAGAATTCATTTAGAATAATCTTTAGAATTCATTTAGTTAGATCGGTCCATAACAACTTGACTGGGGCATTCGAGTTTTGTGGAGCTCGTTAAGCGTAGCGTCGGCACGCTTTGAGACCTAAATCTAAAAAAAAATTAAAAAGCTCGTGTGAATACCCTATAAATGTAATTGTTTTTCTTTTTAAATAACATTTTGAAATATTTAGTTGCATGCAATAAAACGGGGAAGTTTCTTTGTTTGCACTTCGAAATACCCAATGAATACGCAGAATCGAATATGTATTGGTCACTTGATGTAATATTCATTAAATATATATCTCAGCTCTAAAACCTGAACGCAGGTGACAGAAAAAATCCAAAAAACAAAAGTGAAAAAATTACATAAATCCGCATTCTCACTTCACGATAAATTTTTGCACTTATTCAAACTTAAAGCAATTTGATTACGACTTCCCTCCGGCTTAATGCATAATGATAATAAAGTGTTTAACCGTTTCCTCTTATCGTTTTTCAGTTGATATTGACGTGTGGCACAGCAGCAAAGGCAACAACAACACGTCAAAATGGCTGTTGTCCCCTTCTGTAAGTACACACACGCATACAAGCAAAAAATTATGGTCTCATAAATAAGTTTCACGTGCAAAAATTCTGAACTGTCAGCTTAATGAGACGTTTAAATATTGAGCGTTGCGCATGCGCCGTTAATAAGAGGCTCTATCTAAAAACTGCGAAATATAGTTGAAGTTGACAGAGCTAAGATACGCCGCTAATTGCTCTCAAGCTCACGCCAAATGCTAGACCGAATTGAATTTGGTAAATAAATAAATAAAAAAAATATATAAAAATATAGCAGCAATAAACAAGAGCTTGCGTGCGGCACTTTCGACTGCCTAATACTTTGGAGTCAATCGATAAAAGAGCTTTAAATAAGATTTGGCCTATAGTTAGCAAAAATTATTATAGTGTACTATATAAATATTATATAGATTATATATATATTACATATAACATATTTGAGAATTTGTTTAAAACTCTTAAAGATATACATTTTTCCGTCAAGCTTACCTACTTCTCGATTATGAAGATTTTTTTAGTCTATATTTATATATTATATTTATATATATATATTATATGTATTTATATATTATATCTATATATTTATAATAAAGCAATCTGTTGTATATTTTTGAAAGAAAACTCATCAGCAATTGTGGTTACCTTTAAGTCTAACAAAAATATACCTTTTGCTCTTAAAACTAGATAGTAGAAAAATTTGTCTGCACTACGTTTTCAAGATTTTAGGCAGATTATCAGTTGCATGAAAGATTCTTTTAAATTCCAATTTTAAATGTATCTTTTTCTCTGGCATAGTTTTGCTCAAAAAGTTTAAAAAGTTTAATTAAAAAAAAAAGAAGTAAATTGTTGTTTTAAACACTAAATAAGAGTAATAGAAATTAAAAAATTAAACAAATAACAATTAAAGTCAATTTCTCTTTTTAACACTAAATATTAGTAGAACATCAAGAGTCAAGCCAATATCCCCCATCGATTGTAGCAATCGATCATTATTTGTAAACAATATTTGTTTTTATTTGACAGTTTATGTGCCAAAGCGCGTGATTGTGGCCATAATGTTGTTCATGATGTGCCTCATCAATTATATGATGCGCGTCAATCTGTCCATTAATATCATTGCCATGGTTACGGATCGGGATGAGAACGGAACACTCGTGGAGCAGCCAGATGTGAGTGTTAGGCAGTCGTAGATCTTCCTTCTCATAACTCACTATTGCTAACCTTGATATAGTATGGCGTGCGCTACGACTGGTCCCAGCAGGATCAGGCCCTGCTGCTGGGTGGCTATTTCTATGGCTATATGATCACCTCGTTACCGGGCGGCACTCTGGCCGAGATGCTCGGTGGTCGCAATGTGGCTGGATATAGTTGCCTGCTGGGCGCCTTACTAACCGCTCTGACACCTGCTGCCGCTGCCTGGGACAAATACGCCGTCTTTGCCCTGCGCTTTCTTATTGGCCTCGTGTCGGGTGTCGTCTATCCGTGCTGTCACAATTTGGTCTCAAAGTGGTCTCCGCCGGATGAGAAGGGAAAGTTTGTGGCCTCGCTGATGGGCGGCACATTTGGTACGGTCATCACGTGGCCACTGTGCGGCCTCATCATTGAAGGTATTGGCTGGGCGTGGGCCTTCTATATAGTCGCTGCTTTTGTGGTAGTCGTTGTGGGCTTGTGGTTCTATTTGGTGACCGATACGCCTGCCCAGCACAGCTCCATCAGTATCAAGGAACGGGAGTATATTGAGAACAGTCTGGGCTCCACTCTAGGCAACAAGTCGGTAAGTATCAACTCGGCTTAATTCGGCTTGGCATCAAACCAATTGCTTCTCTTTCGACTTCTTCTTCGTCTAGAAATGGCCTCCATATAGCCAGTTGATCTTCTCGATGCCGTTCTGGGCGTTGACCTTGCTGCATTATGGTAGCATGTGGGGTCTCTTCTTCCTGATTACAGCCACACCAAAATTCTTAAGCGAAGTGCTTGGCTTCAATCTCTCCTCAGCAGGCTTCCTGTCCAGCTTGCCACACATTGCACGCCTATTGGCTGCCTTTGGCTTTGGGTCCGTTGCGGATTGGATTCGACGCAAGGGCTGGTGGACGCTTACGTTCACTCGCAAGTTCTTCTGCATTCCTTGTAAGTCGAGCACTAAATTTTCTCTTGCATATGTATTGAATCTCCCATTTGTCCATAGCTCACATCTTGCCTGGCATTATGCTCATCGTATTGGCGTTCTGCGGTCGCGATCCTTACGTGTGTGTGGCCATAATGACCATTTCGCTGGGCTTCAACGGTGCTGCGACTTCCACCAATTTGGCCAACTCTCAGGATCTGGCGCCCAACTTTGCGGGCACCATGTACGGCATCATCAATTGCCTGGGCACCACACCGGGCATCTTCTCGCCACTGATTGTGGCCGCATTTACCCAAAACAAGGTGCGACAAATACCATAGAATATCTGAATTTCTTGCAATTAATCCTCTTTTTTTTGTAGAACACCATCGATGAATGGTTCTGGATATTTGTGATTGGCGCCGCGGCCTACATTTTACCTGCCATATTTTTCTGGGTTTTTGGCTCGGGAAAGATACAAAAATGGAATGAGGTGCAAACCACCGAACCTAAGGAAGATGTTGTCAATACAAAGTTGTAGTTTGTGCCTTGGCAATCTGCTGTGATGTCGTAGTACTCTATATATAGCCATATAATTATGTCGTATGTACATTTGTGTATATAAGCTAATTGTACCTGTAAAGGGTGCACCAATAGCAAGTCCTATTAAACTTAATGCTGGTATTTATTATTTTGAAAGATAATTATTTTCATTTCTCATTCTTTCGTTTATGGTTTCAATAAATATTAGGTAATTACCACTAGCTTAAAATAAGTACTTCTTACTGCTTACTGCTCAAAAATAGCTATTTGTTTGTCTAATATTTTGCTTTTCCCATGAAGATCTTGGCTGCCGCTTTGTGTAAAGACCTCGTTTACTGGGTATATTAAAACCTGTCTACATAAACATATAAAACGTCAAATTGTCAATGGCCTTAGCTTTTAGTTTTTTTTTTTGGGAGGGGAAGCACTTCGACTGGTTGCGGTCTCTGCAAACGTTAATTTTTGCGCATTCAAGCAAAAAACCCCAAATTGACACAACAATTAGGTAAATGTTAATCAAAATGCACAACTGCAAACCTCGTATTTTCGTTGATGATTTTTTGTTGATAAATTAACTTTTAATAAATTAACATCATGGCCGTGCGCCTATGAAGAAACGTTGACAAGAGGGCTTTCTAAAAACATATACTATATATATTGTGAAAAACAATATTGTGCAAAAATTGTTAAGAAATATTCCACACTTCGAAACAATATGCTCGATTGTTTACATAAACAAGTCTCAACCCACTATTATTCATGGCCTATAAATTCACTTTTAATATATAATTTGTGTATAGTCAGAAGTGGCAGTTTTATTATTTTACATAGCTTTTAATATTTTAATGTGACACATATTATTTTATATTTTGTATATATACATATATTTAAAAATACATACCCATTTTGATTTTCATTTTTTTTTTTAAATGAAATTATCGGCGGGCATCTTATCGATTAATTTCAGTGTTGCAACGTTACAGTCTCATTTCGAGTATAGCATTTATGACAACATTAACATTGACGGTGACTGGCAGCTGTTCATAACAGTTCAGCAAACTGTAAAGTTCTTTTCGCTACATTCACTCGTCTGTTAGTGCATATGTGTGCATACGCGAAAGGCAACTCTGCTTTTAGTAAGTTAACTTTATTTATTTATAAGCGCAGTATAAACGCAACAGCGCACATTACTTTACACATTTAGCACAATACACAACGTCAAAATGGCCGAAGTCGAAGCTGTGCAAATAATTGCGGAATCTTTGAAGCAACAGGTAAGCCAAGTGCATCTCTCTGTCTGCCCCACCATCTTTACCTTTTGTCTCCTATATGATATGCACTTTTTGCATACCAACTCTTCGAGCGAGGGAGGTGAAAGAGAACGCGGAGTGCGTTCAACTGTAGTATTAACGGCATCAGGGCCAAACCGCTTATCTATCCAATTTTCTGTTGTGCAAAGTTCAAAAAGCACTCAAAAAGTGGCCAAGCAATGTTATTGCATGTTTTTGAGTATGTGTGTATATTCTTTTTGTTGTCACAATAGTTGTTACTGGCGTTGTTGTTGTTGCTAGCCGGTGGCTCTATTTAGTGATATAGATACGGAGCGGATCTTGATATGAGAACAGTATTCCAAAGGTTTTGAATACAACTTTGTAAGCTGTAAATCACACGATTTTAGCAGCTGATTAAAATCAATAAATAGCTTTTAAAATATTTTAAAACAAATTATTGAAATCTCCACCGCCTCCTTGAACTTTATGCTCTATAAAAATTTAAAAGTGAAATTGATTAAGGAATTTTTATTTAACAGTTTAAAGTTCATACGTATTTACGTATATTTGATCAGCTGCAGCGGCCATATCTTTATTGCCATATTAAATATTTCTCATACAAACATCCGAACAATATGCCGGGTAAAATATTTGCATATTCAATCATCATGCCTAAGCCCAACCATAGTCTGATTTTTCTATATTCTATACTATATAGGTCTTACTAATACTTAATGCAAATATGATCTATCTATCTGGTTATTGCAGGGCGTGGAATATGTGTTCGGCATCATTGGGATACCAGTTATTGAGCTTTCGATGGCCTTCCAGGCCGCTGGCTTGAAGTATATTGGCATGCGGAACGAGCAGGCCGCCTGTTATGCCGCTCAAGCCATTGGCTATCTAACAGGGAAGCCGGGTGTCTGCCTAGTTGTCTCCGGACCTGGTTTGCTGCACGTAACAGGTAATAACGAAAGTTCATTCAATTGAATTATATACTTCAACTATTTGTTACTTTCAGGTGGCATGGCCAATGCTCAAGTGAATTGCTGGCCTCTGATTGTGATCGGAGGTGCCACGAATCAGGATCATGAAGGTATCGGTGGCTTCCAAGAGTGCCCTCAGGTGGAACTGTCGCGTCCTTATTGTAAATATGCGGCACGTCCCGCTAATGCTGCATTGATCCCGCTGCATGTTGAGAAGGCTGTGCGTTATAGTACATACGGACGTCCTGGTGTGGCTTATTTGGATTTCCCCGGCAATATACTGCAATCGAAGGCGATCGAATCGACGATTTACAAATCCGTTGCACATCCCGTGGCACCACTTGCCTACCCACCACATGATGATGTGATACGTGCCGCTCAACTGCTGCGTCTGGCGAAGCGTCCGCTGGTGATCATTGGCAAAGGCGCTGCCTATGCTCATGCTGAGAATACTTTGCGTCATTTCATTGAGAACACAAATCTACCGTTCTTGCCCACGCCTATGGGAAAGGGCGTGGTCTCCGACACGGCTGCTCAATGCGTTGCTTCGGCACGCACCCTTGCGTTGCAGAAAGCAGATGTGGTGTTGCTGCTGGGCGCTCGTCTCAATTGGATTTTGCATTTTGGGCGCCCGCCACGCTACGATAAGGATGTGAAATTTATACAGGTAGATATTTGCCCCGAAGAGCTGAACAATTCGGTGGTTGCATCGGTGGCCGTGCAGTCGGACATTCGTCCCTTTGCCGAGCAGTTGTTCGAGCAAATGAACGCGATAAACTTCCGCTTCGGCTATGAGCAAGACTGGTGGAAACAGCTGGCGGCCAAGTGCAAACATAATCGCGATACAGTGCAGCAGATGTCGCTGAATAAAGCAACGCCATTGAACTATTATGCGGTCTTCCATCATCTGCGCGAGCTGTTGCCACGTGATACCATTATTGTTAGTGAGGGCGCCAATACCATGGATATTGGTCGTTCAATGTTGCTCAATGAGCAGCCGCGTCATCGCCTCGACGCAGGCACTTTTGGCACCATGGGTGTCGGTCCCGGTTTTGCGGTGGCCGCTGCTCTTTATTGCCGCGACTTTGCACCGGGCAAGCGTGTCCTCTGCGTGGAAGGTGATAGTGCCTTTGGTTTCTCGGGCATGGAAATCGAGACAATGGTGCGCTACAAGCTGCCCATTACAATTGTGATTGTGAACAATAATGGCATCTATGGAGGGTTCGACAAGGACACCTTTGAGGCAATACGCAGCGATGGCGACTTAACGCAAATGTAAGATTCACATCTTATCTGCTAAATAACTCGCATCTAATCTTATCATGTATACTTTTGATTCTAGCACGCCACCATCAGCGTTGGGCGTTCAGGTGCGCTACGAAGAAATGATGAAAATGTTTGGCATGCAGGGCTATTTCTGTACTGAGATCGAAGAGCTGCAAGCTGCCCTAAAGGCGGCCAATCAGCTGACGGATAGGCCCACCATCATAAACGTGGCTATCAGTCCTTCCTCTGATCGCAAGCCACAATCTTTTAATTGGCTCACAGAGTCCAAGCTATAAAACAGCACACATACATTCAGCCGTCTATATGTGTGTTGGTGTTTATGGTTTTTATAAGCAGCAACGTTTACAACTTAGTTAATAAGCATAAAGTTCCGTGCATTCCTTCAAATTCTTAATTTTCAAATATGCATTTGTCACGAATTTTCTTTGTATATACACAACATGCAAAAATTTTTATAAAACCAACGATTGTAGAATTTCAAATGCAATGTTTCAATTGTAGTGTATAATTAGTATATATTATAGTATATCGATTTTATCCGGATCGGGCATAGATACAATATAGCTAACATAAAAACAATTCGAGTTTTTCTACAGCTTATTGCTTCTTACTTGAAATCTTAATTTTTTGTGTATATACTTCTCTGGCAAAAACATATCAATAACATTCCAACTATGTTATGTAGCACACAATTGCACTATATCGAGTTTAAATTTTCAAATGTTTGCAAGGGTATTTAATTTTCGAAGTTTTGTGTTCACTGAATTAAACTACATTTTAAGCATTTGGTCCGAGGCTCTACGGCAAATCGAAAAATTAGAATAATATACTGATTAGACGAATATAGTTAATAGTTTTGCGATTTGACGTAGTTACTCGTATTAATAGCTTCTTGAATTTAATATTAATGAGACACTACAACCTATATCAATCTCAACGATTGGCACGCACCATCTCCTCCTCCAGTCCCAGATAGTATAAAAACCAATTGAAGTCCACCAAGCGACCTTTGTGTAGAAAGGGAAGTTTTGGACACAGCTCGAAGGCTATGTTAAGTGGTGCTATGTCGGGCACCTGGTCGGCAGTCATGTTGAAAAAAGTGAGCACATCGCGCATCTCAATCTCGCCCTGCTCATTGCGCTGCAGCACCTGAAGTATATCCTCCACAAGCTCCAGGCTAAAGGGCAGTCGACAGCCGCGCAGCGTGGATCTCACTTGTGCCTCCGTTATGTACGGCTTGCATGTGGGATTTATGTGGCTCAAGTGCTCGACAAGCTCATCCACGTTGTTCCACAGCGCGCGCTTAAGCTCCAGCTGTGCAGCGGCGCGCACGTGATTACGGTCGCAAGTGGTCGGCGGCATCTGCTCCGAAGAGAAGAAGCGACACACGGTGATTATCTCATGGTTCAGCAGCGTTTCCTTAGGCAGGAAGGCGAGCAGCGTGGACTTCAGCGTGTCAAAGCTAACGGAGGTGCCATCGCGCAGATCAGCATTCGGTTGGCAGCGCAGCACAAACTGTTTGTACTGCGGACGCACTGCATCGCGAATCTTTTGCATAATCGCGCGTATGTCCGCCACAGGAAACTAAAAGCGTAAAACAAGGCATGAGAATGAAAGCTAAATCAAATAGGGAATACGGCTAACCTCATTGGCATGCTGTTCCATGTAGAGTAGCGTGAACTCATCTGCTGAATTGATGTAAAAGATGTGATCCTTGAGGCTTAATCGGGCACCGATGTAGAAATCCTTGGCATGATAGTATTCCGGTCTGGCTGAGCTGAACTTCTCCTGACCAGGCAGCGCCACACGCGCGCGCTTCAGAAACTCCCCACCCAGGAAGCCGGAATTGCGTCGGGCAACCTCATAAATTTGGATTGTGTCATCCGCTAGATAATAGCTAATCACAAAGCTGCGCTCGCAGTTCTCCCGTATAATGGAGATCATTTTTGCACCGAAGCGCAGAATGCATCCATCGTACTTCATCAGCTTCTTAAAGTCAGCCTGCGGCGCCTTGGGCTCTACGGTAATGCAGTTGCCCTCGGAATCCTCATAGCTGCCCCAGCCATTATAAGGCGGCAGACGACGCGTCTTGCCCTGGCCCTGAACACGCTCGTCACTGCATTCCGGCAGTGGTTGAGGTGTAAAGTCCTGAATGCCATGCTGGAAAAAGAATTATTATACGAGTCTCTGCCTTATGTCTAAGTAGAATATATCTTATGTATGACTATCTATAAATGGATATCCAAAGGGGTAGGGTGTAACACGAACCTTCTCTCGGTAATAGTGCTGGGTGAACTGATCGCAGCTGGTGAGCACCACGTCGCGTCCAAAGACATTCAGCACGGCGCCAATTCGCAAATCCTGATCGGTGTAGTAGGTCGTCTGCTTCTGGCCAGTGTTCAATGGATCTGCGACGTAGCGTACGTCGCGCATGTTGGAGCCGAGAACATTCAGCAATGTCACCGCTGTCTGCTGGCCCGGCAGCGAGAGACCCGTGAATTCCTTGGGCAGCTTGCCACGCTTTAGGAAGGTGCTGGTTCCCTCACGGCCGGAATTGCGTGGGAATTTCTCTTTAATGTCTATGGTGTCGTCGGCTAGATAGTAACAGATGTTCAGTTGGCGCACATCGCCGAACTCCGAGCGATCGTTCCAGTAGCCCTGAAACTTGAGCACGCGTCGATCGAATTCCAGGAACTGGGCAAATGCATGCCGCTTGGGCACGGCGCTCGTTGCTGGACGAGGCGTTTGCTTTACAGCGGAGCGTTTGCGCAGCTCCGTGGTGGGATCACTGAAAGGGAGAAGAACAAATATTAGTTGAGCTCTGCTCGAATTCGCGACTCTCGTAGCTACTTGGGCTCCGTCAGCGCAACGGGCACGGCAATGCCGGCGCGACTGAGAAACTGTCGGGTGAAGATATCGCAGCCGCTTATGTGATAGAGTCGGTCGAAGATCTGGACGTTAGTGTCCACATTGAGATCGAATATGGAGATGAACTCGTGCTCGCTGGCCGGTCCTTTGGGTATGCGCTGTCGATGCACCAGGCAGCCTTGCGGTATGCCAGAGTTCTCCACCTTGGGCTCAGTGACTTGCATGGTGCCATCCTCCAGGTAAAAGTAGATTTTGACCTTGCGCACCTGATAGGGCGCATGGTAGATCTCGGTGAGCGGCTCCTTAAAGTACGCATTGAAGCACAACACCTGCTTATCGTAAGCTAGCCAAGGTGGCAGCTTGGTCGTCATCCGAGGTGGACACAGCAAATTCAGCTCCGTGCTGGCCGGAGGACACTTAGGGTCCACCAGCGGCCCATTTGGCTCCACCAGCTCCGGTTCACGCCGATCCGACAGCATGTGTATGCCCTGGTAGTGCATCAAGGTCTGACGACGCGGATGACGACGTTTGCTATGCTATAAACAACACAAGGTGAAACAGCAGCGCCTTTGTTAGTGTGTGTGTGTGTGCATAAGACCCGTTAGTTACTCACATCGTAGAACTGTGCACCTGGCAGCAGTGGCATTCCTGGCAAGCGAAGCATTCCAACGGGTAATTTATGATAATTTCCTAATTTTTGTTTACACCTCCAAATTTAGAATTTTGGCTTTTTGTTTTTACTTTTGGATCTTGCCAAATTTTGTTGCCAAATTGTTGCAAATTAGAATTTTGTAGCAGGCGACTTTTAGCTGCTTAACTGTTTCGACATTTTTTCATTAGCTGTTGCCCCAATAAATGGAACAAACAGCTCTATGGCAATGCCGTTGAATGCCATGGCAGCAGCAGAGGCAGCAACTGGTTGCAGCAATACGGGTGGTAGTCAAGCAGTTCCAGTTCTCTTGCCCCAAACCTATCCGCCGTTGCATGAGACTTTGGGTTGGGAAACGTTGTGAAATGGAACGATAGTTTTTATACCCTAAGACCGTTGAAAATGCAAATATCAGGGTATAATGGAGTTGTGAAACTGTATGTAACAGGCGGAAGGAGGCGTGGCCGACCTTATATAGTCGTGTTCAGCACGACGAGCTGAGTCGATCTAGCCATATCCTTCCGTTCGTCTGAGTATCTGTATACCATACGCAATACGGGCTCATTTATTTATTTCGATAGCTCATTTTATGGACTTATTATCGATAATAATCGATTAACTGATTTTGTATCTAAAGCTCAACTTCGTTATCATATGATAACTTTTAATTTTTAACTTTGCCTTCGCCTGACCTAAATATAGAGATTTGTTGTAGTTAGAATTTTAGATACCTCAGATGTTCGCTTATATGGGAGTTATTTCACATATCAGCTTTGGCAAATACAATCACATGAATTCAATTTTCGTGCTCTGAAAATGATTGATAATAAAAGTTTATCTAACCCTTAGTTTTTCTTCAATCATTTTCATAGGGCAGCCCAACCGCAGTCGCTGCATAAACGGGGCAGCAAGCAGAGTGCGTGCTTGTGTGTGTGTGTGTTTGTATGTGTGTGCATTGCTTGTTTGTCATGCATGTATGTGTGTGTAACACAGAAGCTTTTCGCAGGGTTCAGGGTATTTCCTAGTCGAGCAATCCCGACTTGAGCACTCTTGTTTTATATTTCTGCAATTAAATACAAATTCTTACATAATAAATGAGATGGTTTAGAGAAGTTTTAGCTACTTAGAATTCCATAGATAAAATTATAGACAAATTTAATATAATTTATCTAGGAATGTTCTGCAACTTTTAAGCTGACATATGTTAAATATATTTTAACTAAGGATCGGATGTCGATTGCACTCTTTATGTCTGCCTTATATACTCTCAGTTGTGCTTAGACAGTTTCCATCAGAAACAGAAATTTATAAAAATGTGGCTAAAAATCGAATGGATTTTAGCTTGACAACTTGCCAGCTTAAAATATGCCTATAGCCAACAGACGTGCAGGCCGACACGTCTTTCAATTCGCATGAGTTAAGACTGTGTCCCATGCGAATTTCCTAATATATCTCTCGTTCCACATCTTTACGATTGCATGCCAAAGAACGGGGCGTCTTGGGGTTCAAGCCTATTCAATTTGTTTGTTTGTTGTCGTCTAAGACAAGGTCGAAATGTTAATTACTTGGCTCACCGTTATCATTCAAACACTTTACCGCTACCCAAACACTGTCGATAACAATACGTACAGCGAATACGTAGACGTGCTAATTGAGACGACAGGTAAAAGTAGGAAACCCGTCAGAGCACGTGAACTTTTCTCGCACCTCGCACTCGGGATTGTCATGAGAACAGGTCTTCAAAGACGCAGATGCAATCGAAAGCGTCTTGCCTCAGTTAAAGCATAAATGGTTTAACGCTCGACCGGAGAACACATAAGAAGCGCACAAAATGAATTTAATGTTCGTTTAGTACATCCAAATAGTTGGAGGTTCGATCAAAATAAATAATTTATTTATATTTCAGTTGCTTGCTCTCAACGTTGTTTCTGCTGCTGGAGGCTGTGCAGGCAATGGACGTTAATTTGACTACTTGGCGTCAACATCGCAGACAGAAGCGTTTTCTGATCTATCAGGATGGTGGCGTTATAAAGGTAAGAGTCTCATGTGCCCATCGAAGAAAGTGTCCGTTTGACCTTTGACATTTTGCAGATGGTAGCTGGCGTCGCATTTCCCGTGGACTTTGATGAAAAGAACGCCTGGCGCCAGCTGGTCATGCTAATGAACTATCACTATCAATTCCCAGAGCCAACTACGCCCATCTACTGGTGGAAGCTATGGAATGGCAGAGATCTGAAAGGTCCCATTAAACTGACCAAAGATCAGAGGCAGCAACAAAAGACCACACAGCCGCAGCAAGTGGATGCAGCACAGCAACTGCTGTATGAACTCGCCGTGGAGTACATGAATCGACGTGGCCAAGACGGCAAAGCGTGCATGCAACGTTTGATATGCGAGAATGGACAGGTGCACGAGCACAATGGACTCTATGCGCAGCTGCTGCACAGATTGCTCATGTGAGTAGCTAAACAGCACTAGCATATATATTTATACATATACATGTTAACTAACCCATCGGAATATCCTGCTCAGACCGCACCGATCTCTGGGGAAACATTATTTGGATGCCTACAGCATGGGCAGGCACGGCATCAACTGTCGCAAAGCGTTTCCCACAGCTGGACACTGTGTATTGGATGACTATGTTCATGTCCATGAACGTGGACTGACGCAGAGCTATATCTAAGGTGTAATTGGAGCCCTGCCACAGAGATTCATGCATTCATATTGTATATGTATGTAGAAGGCGCCGGTTGCCAGTTGGCTAGGGATAGACACTTTAATGACTGCTCCAACAAGCTTAAGCATTAAAATAACAATTATAAAACTAACGTCTAATTAAAACAATGCTAATTTTTTGTACAAACATTTGCGAAGATCGCGCCAGCCCCACTTAACTCTGCGTCTTGTCATTATCACCATTATCATCATCATCATCAGCATCGTCGTCAGCGTCGCAAACTTTCCAGTTGAGTTGATAATATTTTTTCGCATTGCTCGTGAGCCATTGCAGTGCGCAGTAGTGTGTACAAAAATTGCAAGTGAATAGCTGCTTCGAAGCGCTGCCACGTCTGCAAGTATACAAAGAAACACACTATATATTCATATAGTAGTGGAGAAATCAGGATAATCAAACAAAGCGACTCGCCGGGTAAGTGATAATAACTTCAACTTTCTGTTGCCTAAGTCTTTGCCGTGGCAGTGAGATGGGTTTGTGAGAATAATAACTATACTATAAAATATATATATATTATTTATGCTTTAATTTAGTTTTAGTTTAAGAAAGACAATTGCTATAGAAAAGATCATTTATGTAGCAGACAAGAATCTTTGATTTTTGAATGGTAAAATATAAAAAAAATAATATTCGAAATTGCATATAAAATGATGAGTTAATTTAAAGAGAATAGGGCGAATGTATAATTTACCTAAAGTGCATAAGGAATCAACATAAATGTTAGGTTTCTATGCGCAGTTCCACATAAGTTTTTCTTAAATATTTTTACTACAATAGAATGAGAACCTTCTAGACTTGAAATTGTTATTTTACATGCCTTTCCATTATATATAATATAATACATTAAATTTGACAATCTGTTATAAAATTCATAGCAACGCTTTTCTAGCCCAAACGCCATTATAGAAAATTATATTTAATTATAATATAATTATTATGCATTATATATTATTATAAGTTCTTCGCTTGGCCTATCCCACAACTGCCGACTTTAATAACTCTCTAGCTTAAGTCAACTTAAGCTACTTTCACTGTATTTCTTGTAATTCTATTGGATCATAGTCGCGATATCTCTAGAAATGAAACCTGTTTCAAATTTGATTTCACACAGCGCTAAAAATATATAAAGAGCAATGGCGGCGACAGGGCCTTACCGCTTGACGACCATAAAGTAGTAGGTTGTATAGAGGCAACTGGAGCAGTTGGTGGTGGTGCAGCGAGCAATGGGTCCATTGTTGATATGCGCACTCATGTAGGGCTCGGGCAGCAGACGATGCAGTGCGGCATTCTCATAGACGGGCAGGTGGCGATTCAGCGTCTGCACCGCATGCAAGCAATCGTCGTACAGCGTGACCTGATTCTCCGGCGAGGGCACGGCATACACCTTACGTGTGCCCACAGGCAGCACCAGGCGTTTGCCTGTCTCCAATTCCCGCACACAAAATAGACCTTTCTTTGCGATGGCGCTGCAGTAGAGAAGAATTCATTGACTTTATTATTATTAGAAATTATTGTATAAGAAATTAAATTAAATACAGCAATAATATTAGATGATTCCAAATTCGTTTTTGGGGCAGGATTTGGGAATTTATATGATTCTATACATTTATATGAGTGTATATATTTATATGATTTATATGAGATTTGTTTTTGAGTTCAATAATAAACAAGTAAAAAAAACTGTCTAGAATCTAAATTAGATTTTAAAGTGCAGCTATAAGTTTTGGTTTGATTCGATACTTGAAATAAACTGACTTAAAAATTTTTAAAAATTTAATTCATATATTTTCTGAACCCAATTTAGAATTTAATTCAATGCCATAAGAAATAGCTGTTTTTTTTCAAATAATTAAAAAAAAATATGAATCACAAAATGCACTCACATGGGCGTAACTTTTTGCCTGTTGTCGTAGAAATTCTGATAGAAACGCTCGTAGATCATGGGTATATAGTTGACCGAGGTGTTGTGAAAGATGCGCACATGGTTCATGAACTTGGAGAGCGCAGCCGGCAGATAGACAAGAGCGCAGCCTGCAGCAGACGAAGAGAAAGACAGACAGAATGAGAGAGAGAGAGAGAGAGCAGTTTTATAGAATAATCTCAATCTCTTTCGACTATATATTTACGATCGGCAGCGAGGGACTGCAGCATGGGAAGATTGGCAATACGCTCGGGCAGATGCAGCAGCGCCTCGTTTTCGCTCACGTTCAGCTCGTTGAGGCGCACGCATTCGCTCAGCTGTAGGGGCAAACGACGGAATTGATTTTTGGCTATATTCAGTTGCTCCAAATTGCGCAAGGTGTTCAGCTCTGAGGAAGACAATATCTAGTAATCGAAGTCAAGGCCAAGTGGAGTGCTGCGCTTACCCACAGGCAGTTCGGTCAGCTGGTTGCCGCTGACGTTCAGCTGCTGCAGGCGCAGCAGCAAGCCCAATGTCTTGGGCAGCTCTTTGATTTCATTGTTGGACACATCCAAGAACTCCAGATTCTCGAGCATATATATATCCACGGGCAGTTCGCTGAGATTGTTGCCAGCCAAATGGATGAACTTGAGTGTGGTTATATTCAGCAGCCATTTGGGTATTACAGATATGTAGTTCTCTTTCAAGTAGACCTCTTCGAGGTCCTCATACAAAAAGAGGTCCATGGGCACATCTTTGAAGTTCAAATAGCTCCAGTGCAGTATGGTCTTATTCATTGCGAGGCGGGCGGATTACACAATTTGTATTCTCATTTAATTGAAACGGACGTTTTTTGATGGTTTGTTTGGTTTGGCACCACACAAATACATATGCACACATATATACGTATATATATATTATATCTAGTGTAAATAGCTGTATTTATTTTTTACGCGGTCATGATCAAAATTTGGCATGCGGCGCCTTCACTGTCAACCACAAAACTGGGCCCCCTCACCAAACAAACAGCAACAGTTTGCTCAGGTCGCCCAAAAGAATCTTTTTTTACGTTTGTCTTTCGGCAAGATGCTCGCGAGCACATAAACAATTTCTCAACTCGCTCGATACTGGCGAGCACGATTCTATGTTCACATATACTTTTTACTTGATATATTTTATATTTCACTATTTAAGTGGTTATACGGTAGGCTTGGTGGCGTATACGTAATGTGCCGCCTGAAAATATGCAAAAGCAAAAGCTTTGACGACATTGACATTGAATATTGCGTGCATGCAATGCAAGCGGCTGCATTGATTGTTGTTGCCGCCTCCTCAAGGTCGTTGCGTCGAAAAGTGGGCGTGAGCTTTTCTAAGCTCAAGCTTTTTGTGCTAAAAGTTTAGCACGAAGCTGGCTCATTGAATTGCTGTGCTAAAACTGTGGCGAGCTGCGACTGGTAAAAGCTTAGCCTACGCAAAGCTCAGCCAAGTTTCAAAAGCTTAATTCCGATGGTTGAAAACAAGGATTAGAAATATTGTTGCCACCAGCTGCCGAGTCTATCCGGCATAGGCTTATCTTGTTTTCACACTTGGTCAATAGATCTCACATTTACATGAAGTTAATCAATTGTTTAACATGAAATATATATTTATTATTATTATTTATCGAATTGATAATATTTTTAAGATATTTTTTTTTCTCAATATGCCATATTGCTTATTTTGCTTTGTGCAATTTGCTTGCTTTCAACCTTTCAGCACCAATTCTTTAAACAATTTATGCACACACCCACACATAGATAGAACAATTTGTCGAAGACTTAAATAAAACGCAATTGTTCTTAAAATAAATTAAATCAAATTTCGCAAATTTATTTCGACTAGTTTTGACAGTTTTTGCTCGGCTACAGCGATTCACCAATAGATTTCGGGAGAATCGTCATCGTAGAGCGAATAGTGATGATGGCTGATATAGGGCGCTGAGTAGTGATGATGGTGATGATGATAATGCGGACGACTATAGTAGTACGGCGACGAATATCCATAATACGGCGTAGAAATAGCTATGGGCAGAGGCAGACCCACGCTGATAATTGGAGTCGCCTCCAGTGGGGCCGTGAGAAGGCCTAAAATTGTGGCAACTATCGCCAAGACTTTCATATTTCGTCGAGCTATCTATGCTAACTGAACAGAGTTTAATGTTCGCAGCTCTCTTATATGTTTAGCTCGGATCGATGACAAATCAAATGTGCAAAAAAAATTTCTCCAAAAATTAGCAACTTCAACTCGGCAATGTTTTTCCCCGTGCGTTAAAAAAATAGACTGAATTGAATGATTTCTTTAGTAAATATTTGATTTATTTTGTGCTTTTTTTCGTCTTCAAATTGTTATCAGCTAATAAAGCTCTACACCGTTTATCACAAGTTGCAGGTTTTTTATATTTTTTTGATTTCTTTTTTTTAAATTTTTTTAACTGAAAGTGGGCGTGGTTTCACGCGCCCGCCTTCACGTTCACAGTCAGCTGTTTGAAGTCGCGATCACTGAGCAAATTCCATTTATAGCCCAATATCTGTGAGATTTCACGTTCGACCGCCTCGTAGGAGCGCGAGTTGCGCTTCAGCCACAAGTGGAACTCGTTGCTCCACTCCGGATGCCGCGGCCAGTCGCAACGTAAGATGACAGCGAAGCGCCGCACGTGCAGCTTCTGCAGATTCTTGGCGGTGCGTGCCAGCAGCAGCAACGTTGATGTGGACACCTTTTCCCGTATTACCTGAGGAGGAGAGCACAAGATGCCAGTGTGTGTGACTACAGTTAGTAATAGGTGTTAGGACTCGACTGACTGTTATCTCTTAAATTTAAATGCAGTTTTAAGTTGAAGCTTTGTGGCCTGACACTGAATCTAATGGCTTGACAACTTGGGGAGTATCTGCAATAGCTCCTAGAGAGTGCAAAAGATTATAAGAAATCCTCAACGAATTGAATGGATAAGTAAAGGCGTTATAATTTTTTATTTATTTATATACCAAATGGAAAGGTTATTTACTCCATAAAGCACCAAAACCATGCAATAATATATGTTTTAGCACATCAACTATTTGTATAGTCTAGCTAGCCTTTTTCCTCCGCTCTTTTTAAAGACCATATTCAATATCAATGTATATATCTAGCCGATAGATATAGTCTATTTTTTGTGTGCTTGAATGTCTGCTTGATTATCTATCTGCCTGCTTGTCTGTCTGCCTGTTTGTCCATCTGTCTGCTGGCCTGTCTGACCAACACTATGAGCCAAGTCTATGAAGACATGTTCGCCTTTGCGTCTATTCTCTTGTGTCTTTATATCCATATGTTTATTCATCTATTCTTGTGAAACTAGAAAAGTGACTTCAAAGCTAATTTGCTCAATGTCAATATCATTAATATCAAAAAAAAAATATATTGTAGCTAGTCTGCTTGAGGTTTAGCTCTAATGCTCGTTCCGTTAGCACTGGGGCAGCTTATCAGTTAGTAAAAATATTTAAATATAAATACCAAGGTATCCAGGTTGAAGCACTGCCTGCACATCAGCAGCAGCACGCTGTCGATGCGACTGTCGAAGGACTTCGGGCTGCTGAAACGCGGCAAGAGCTCGTGGCCGTAGACCGTCAAGGTGTTCTTGTAGTGATCCACCATGCGGAGCAGCAGTTCGGTGCGTATGCGTGCTTGTGGAGCCCAGTAGGTGATGCTGTGCACGGGTGCTTCGGGCTGCAGCACGACGTCGCCGTCCACCAGATTCTCGACGCGCAGATGAACTCTGAGCTGTGGATTCGTGGCCTTCAGGCTGCGCCAGGCCTTGACGCCGCAGGCGCTGATGCTCAGATGGTTGGGCGTATAGCAGTTTTGCAGCAAATGCAGATGACGCAACTTGGTGTCGGCCAGCAGAGACAAAACGTCGTCGTCGATGTTCTGCGGCGATATTGTAAGCACGCGCAAATTGAGAAACAGTCCCACATGCATGATGGGACAGTGCACTGTGGTCACATTCACCAGATTGAGGACACGCATTTTGGTGCAGCAGCTGCAGAGGACTTCGTCCAGCAAGTGGTTCGCCTCGAAGCGCTCCAGCACAAAGTCAACTAGCTTCAGTGTGTGCAGATCGGTCAGGCGCAGCATCAGCTCCTTGAGACCCTTCAACAGCTGTCCACCGGTGCCGAACAGCTTGATGCCCTCGGGATCATTAGGTTGCGACATGTTGCAGGGAAAATGATAGACCAGCGATCGTATGCGACGACCCATGCCAATCAGTTCAGATTGCGGATGGTTTTCGTTGCCCTGCAGACAAAGGAATCTTAAGACCTTATGCAGCTCAGTTCTGATAGATGTTATAGGCAAGCCTTAGCTTTATAACTCAGCTCTGCATTCAAACTATACAGAAACAGGCTCTCAAATTTATATATCATTTACTGCATACAATACATCTCCATTTCTCTTGTTTACCTTATCCATGCTCCACGACAACATCGTCATAAACTGATAGATGTTATTGAAGCTATGCCAGGGCCGGAACTCGATGCCTCTCAGGTGTTTGCCAATGCGCGCCAAACAGTTCTGTGTTCGCATGTGATCCAGGCAATACTGCCAGCCCGAGTAGTAGTTGTACTTGGGGCGCGTTAACGTGCGATCATCGACCACGAAATTGTTCCAGACGGTGGGCAAGTAGAAGGCACTGTACCATTGCCGGCAGACCTGGGAAGTCATTTCGTGAGCCGGCTGCGACAGCGGAGCTTCATGGCATCCACTTACCAGACTGGCATAGTAGCGTTCCTTGGGCGTGAGATACGTAAATACTTCCTCCAATACTAGATTCGGCAGCTCGGACCAGCGGGAATAAACGCGCTGCGATTCGTCCAGTTTGTCATTGGCATCAGCATCGTCATCATCCTCCTCTATATCAATGTAGCAGGCTGAGCGACAGGGGGTAAGAGTTTAAATTGTGTTGACATTTGATGCTCTCCGTTTCACCTTTCTCATTCTCGTCGATCTTCCAGCCAGCCTTCTGCATAACCTCTAATGGGGCGCTATTCTTGCGCCCAGCGCTGATCGTGGACATGTTTTATCGACTGCCTATATAGCTTCTCTATAGATTCGCATTAGCATTTGTCGCGTTTATTTACAACACAACGCGCTGCACACAAACACACATTACGATATTCTACTCTAATTTTGAAATTTTTGGCACCGATTGCTATTTATTTATTTTTTTTTCGTTTCGTTTCTTTTCTCTTTGCTTAGAGGCGATTTATTTTTATATAGTTTGGATTGTTCGGTTCGCGCGGACGTTGCAGCGCGTCGCCTCGCGTTTGGGCAACGACTGACACAATCTTCAAAACTAATTCCTTCAATATTCAAATGCTATTTTCGAAAATAAAAAACGAGATCGTGCACGAGAACGAGAACGCGAACGAAAACTTTCTGCAGATTCTTCGTCAAGTTTCGAAATGTTTTCATTATTTATTGTGTTTGATGTCGCTCTCGTGTTGAGTCAAAGGGCCAACATTTTCGATATTGTTGCGCGTTTATTTACATATAGACACTGTTTTCGCTTGATTTTCCTGTTAAAATTAGACGGTCGGCTTTTGGCTGAGGCAAGGTCTTAGGGCAGCCTATGCCACACGCAACTGGGGCAACTTGTTGCCGCTGCCGCAGCCGCCGCTGCTGCTGCTGCTGCTGCTGCTTTCTTATTTGTTGATGTGTTAATCATAAACAAACGTCCCGTTCGCCTCATATTATATATAACACCGCACGCAATGCGATCTGCAAGCACCTCCGGGTTTATCTCTCTCTTTCGCTCACCTTCTGAAGTAGCTCCCGTAATTATAGCCTCGTCCATTTTCAGACTATTGCTAAGCACTTTGGTCTGCCTTGAATTAGTCATGTATCCACTTCCAGCGATCGATTGGCCGCATTTGCCTGATAAGCTCAAGTTTATTTTTGATTCACTACGTATATATATAAATGTCAGGGATGATGATGCATCCAAAGTAGGCCTCTCAGACTGCATTTTATTTTCCCTTATTTACGAAGCGCCTCTCTAGCTGTCAAACCTCGTTCTCGGAATTCAGGGCATAATGATTTTGCGGAAATTTATGTAACAGGCAGAAGAAGACGTGGCAAACGTGATCATGACGATAATTTCAGTCCATCTAGTCATAAACGTCCGTCCGTATGAAATCGTAAACCACAAAAGCTAAAGACTTGAAATTTGAAAAATATATATCTGTATACCATACTGAAACAAGTTTAACATGTTTTATAATTCATTCCAATTTCTTATCGATCAACAAATCGATAATTTGACTTCATTTAGGCGTTACCACAAAAGCTGGAAATGTTCAATTTACTATGGTGGAGATTTAGTATATATTCCTTTTTGGCTACCTGCCTTTCTTTTCATTCAAAAAAGCTATATCAGGTATTCCAGACATGTGCTTTGGCAAATACACCGATATGAATGTCATTATTACATGCTGAAAATTTGTTTACAAAAGTCCACTTTAAGGAAAAGTTATTCAACAATTAATTTCCTATAGTGCACTCCATGCACAGCCTGCAGTCGAGGCACAGTCGCCGCGTCAACTGCGCAGTAAGCAGATATACCTGCGTCTGTATGTGTGTGTGTGCATGTTTTGCTTGCTTTATATGTTTGTATGCATAAGAGCAACGTAGAATTAATAAAATATCAACGATTCGTACTGGTCATGGTATCTCCTAGTCGAGCAGTCTCGACTAAAGCACTTACATTTTTATAACATAATGCTACTTAACAGTGCTTCAAACTTATGTTATACTAACATTTTATGTAAATCAAGAAAATATTTCACATATATTTTAAGCAACAAAATAAAGTATAAAACAATTTCTATCTCCATTTACCATTCTTCATAAGCCGTAAAGAGGTTATTAAAATGTTTGCCAACTAGATGTGGTCTACATAGTAAAAACTGCAGAAATAACTAACAACAATTTTTTGGTATTTTTACCTTGTTTCGAAGAAGCATAGCTCTGTTATATTTTTTTAAAAATTACATTTATACATATATAACAATGTTTTCAAATTACAATAAAATTGTATATATTATAACTGCTATAGCAGTACGTCAAATACTCCTTATTTTTCCAGTGGATTTCTTAAGGTAAAAATTGTGTTAAAAGCTGCTTGACAATTCAGGCAACTGCCTTTGACATTTGACACCACTTTGCACAGCGCCAGTAGAGAAGAAGAAGAAAATGCCAATGTCCTTATGCTTGACATCTTTGTTACTGTTGTTGTTGTTGTTGTAGTTTGTTGCCTTGACGATGCCAGCCAACTGCTGCACAAGTTGTCCAGTGTACACTGTCCAACGTGTCCAGTCGTCTGCATGCCATTGCCAGTGCCGGTGCCATCAAGGAAGCAACTACACACAGGCCATTGTCATTTCCGGCAGCTACACTTAGCGGAAACAGCTGTTTATGTTGCTGCGGCTTGGCGGGCTACGCCGAGCTGCAAGTGGACTGGAAAATGTGCAAAGGCATTTTGCCATTTTCTTTGGCATATTTGTGCAAAGTGACCAAAAGCGACTTTGTTCCATTTTCATTTTCATTTTGTTTTTTTTTTTCATTTTCTTTTGTATTTTTACTTTTATTATTCGCTCAACAATATCCGCTGCATACTTTTAGGATCAGCGCGTTTTGCGCGCCAGAGCACTTAAAAATATGCTGAATATTTTATAAGTCGCTGCCAGCGAACGTTACGAGCTGCAACAATGTGCAATCGGGCTGTAATTAAAACAAATTTAAAAGCAGTTAACACATACACACACACACACACACTCACACTCACTCACTCACAGTCACTCACAAACGGCTGAGTGTGCGCGCACTTCCGCATTCGGTTTGAGCACATCAAATATGACAGCAGCGCAGCGGCTCGTCCTGCCTCGTCCTTAGAAAATTTTGACTATGCAAATTTGAATGTCAACAAAAACGTTGCCGTTTAACCCAAAAACCTGATTTTGTGGCATCGTTTGCCATTTTAGACGGCTGCACGGCAAACATTTTCGTAACATTTACCAAAAAGCTTTACAGTTCCGAGTTGGCAACACGAAGCGCATTGCGCAAAATTTATGCAACCTGTGTCTGCTTGTGTGTGTGTGTGTGAGTGTGTGCATACTTAACAGAGATGCGTGCGTGACTAAATGAACAATTTGTTTAAGTTTAGCTAAACGGTGTAAATACTTTTAAATTGAATAGAAAATGTGTATTAAATATGAAAATAATATTGAATACAAAGATAATAATTAAAATAATATTAATATATATTATTTTTATATTACATTTATATAATATTAACAACTAACTCGCTTTTTCCCTTTTCTTGTCTCTTAATATTTCTTAATAATAATATTAATTGGGCAGATTTTTATTTATCGTTTTAGTTACATCATAGGACAACAACAATGTATTTGTATTGCTATAAATATTTAATTTTACTTATATTTCATATATTTATCTTTTTTTATTAAGTATTTATTATTATTTTATTATTATTATATTCTTCTTTTTAACAGCTTCGAATTTTGCCAAAAAGTCACATTATTATTGACAATTTTCATGGAATTTATACAGTGATAATAATAATTTATTACTTTATTTTAAATTAAATTAAATTAATACGAATTTATTTGAATTCACACTTTTCTCTTATACAAGTAAATATAAATATTGTTGATAAACTGTGATAATTTCCCCATCATTGTCAGATAAAATATCTTTAAAGGACTCTTCTTGCAGCTGTCACAAAATGAAGCGAAAGGTTCATCTCTGATATGCATATGCATAAGCATGCATAAGCGAACACAGCAGTGCGTGTGTGTGTGTGCGTGTGTGTTTACCGGCAGCTTAAAACTGTAAAACAGGAAGTTGCTCGTTGGCTTGGTTAGCCAAGCCCGGCCAAGCACTCGACGTTGTCTTCCTGTTGTTGCTGCTGCCCATTGGCCTTGCCCAGGTGCAACGCGCTGGCAGCTGTTTTGGGGCCATTGTTTGGCCGTCGGATGTTGCCAAGTTTTGGCCATTTAATGTATAATTTTGCAGCATTTTAATTACGTACAGTCTATACAGTCTGCACCAGCAGCAGCAGTAGTCTTAGCCCCCCTTCACTTAGCTCTGCCATGTGGTTATGCAAATTTAGAGCTTATGGCCAAAAACGTCGCATGACTTTGATTTTTGTTCACAGATGCAAAATGCCATTTTGTATGTTCACATTTTAATTGCAAATCATTTTGCCAACTCATTCTAGATTCTAGTTGCTGTTGCTGTGGCTGTTGTAGCATAACTTTGGGCGCATTCTCTTCTAGCTGCCAACTTACTTTCAAGTTGACTTAACAATAGTTAGTTTTCATATATGTAACTGAGACAAGTGAGTGAGTGAGTTGGTCGGGCGTGCTCGACTCAAATACCCTTGCATATTTACACCTATACAATTTCAATAACAATTTAGCTTTTCTATATAATTATTTTTGGGTATACATATAAATATTTTTTAACATAAAATTATTTTATGCTAGATAAAATAAAATCTATTTCCCCTTTTAGACTTGATTTCTTAGCTTAGCTACAATTTTACTTTGATTAACTTAAAAATATATTTTTGCTTTATTATGTACATATTTTTTCTTCAAAGTTGAAACTGGATATTCCAGAGCCAGGTGGCTTTATATCCTATGCATATTCATAGAGAAAATCTTGACTTCTGTCTGCTTCTTTCATAACTTCTTTTATATTTTCTGTTTCCCTTGACGAACTTCAATCACCGAATTCTATTAATCTCTTGAATACATGGCAATATTAACTTTATTTTTAAACTACATAAAATTCACAAATGAATAAAGTTAAAATTAAAACTAAATTGTTGTCAAATAAATGTCTAAATTATAGCAAGTTCCCATGTTTCGGCTTGGATTTGCCAGCTGCTCACTCTAAATATATATACCTATATATATATTATGTGGTCCATATGTATTTTCTATATCCCCCAGCTTTGTTGCTTGTGGCTTACACCAAGCTAAAAAAAAG